CATCGGCACCGCGTGCCCACAGATGCAAACGACTCGGCCCGATTTGCGGTTGCCATGAGCAGCATCGGTTAAAGCTCCCTCCCGAGGCTCCATACTAGACTGTTTTCACAGCCATTTTTGCTCTCTCCGCTGTCTTCACAGCCCTTTTTGCTCTCTCGGCTGTCTTCACAGCCCTTTTTGCTCTCTCGACTGTGTTCACAGCCATTTTTGCTCTCTCGACTGTCTTCACAGCCATTTTTGCTCTCTCGACTGTTTTCGCAGCCATTTTTGCTCGTTTTCTTCCGGTGCTGTTGAGGTTGCACTCGTAATAATTATTATTGTGTTTATTTTGCCCGCACAAGAGGCTTGGTTTGAGCAGTTAAAAAAACCTACAAAATTATATTCAACAGCACATTTGTCACCCCCCCCCCCCTTGTAAAGTTGTCCGTTTTTGAAGGAAAATCATTTCCAGTCAGCCTTGCTATCATATCATGACAAAGGCAGTGAACTGTGCAAACTCTGGTCTACGGCCCTGAGATCAGCCTTAAAATAGGGCTTGAAAGTGCCACATGTACGTCACAGCAAAGCAACAATTTCAAAAATTCATGGATCCAAGCACATTTCAAGTGGTCTTACTCACACGGCGATATAGCCGGTGAATTAACTGGGTTGGCTAATGCCAATGGGGTGGGGTGACAACTGGTGGTGAAGTAAAAGTCACGCCGCGAGGCTGCATACGAAATGAATGGGTTGCTATGCACCCACATACTGAGGCAATAGCAAAGTCACACCTTAGTGGATCCAAAGTAGAAATCTGATGTGAACTTACTACTCCCTGGCCGTTTTGACGTCATCACTTTCAAGCCCTATTACACGCATCAAGAGTATATAACCCCCCAAGAGTGTGCAACTCTGCAACTCTGCATAATTATGGGGTCTCCGATGGCGAAAACTCACATCACGCGTCTCAGGTACGTGCGTACTACGTATAAACGAAGGATAGCGTGCGCGCAATCCGAATAATTATGATCATGCTGGGGATTTGCATACAGTGGAGATTGGATATAATGACACTCCTTCGGGAGAAAGGAAATTGTCGCTATATTCGATCTGTCACTAAACCCGATCTTCACATTTAGTATGCAATATGTATATCAAAATGAGAGGAATGTATTGTAGATATACATGTACATGACGTGGATAAGGGCCTGTCCAGACTAGGTAGAAAACCACGTAAACACGCCGTAAACATGCTTGTTGCCAAGGTGAGTGACGAAAAATGGCCGATAACGGGGAACGTGGGATTCACGCGGAACGTGAGTCGAGGACCCCTGTACAAAGCACGTTTCTCATCTACGTGCCGTTTTCGCAGTGTTTGTTGTGTGAGAGTCGATCGGTGGAGTTTTCGGATCGCATTTTTTCTTGCTGTTTCCAGCTGCTGCAGCTTGTTTTTGCTTTGCCGTTTTCATAATGCCACACGTTCGTTTCAGCTACGACTCTGAGGCGACATTGATACAGTCGTGGCTGGACATGCAGAGAAATCCCGCCGGGGTCTGGTGAAGAGGAAGGTGTTGGAGAGAGAGAGAGAGAGAGGAAAGAGAGATAATTCACTGACGAGCGAGCATTTGAAACTGTTTGGATAGGAAGTAGAACCCTGTTCAGTTGTGATGAACGAAATTGACGACCTGAAGGCCAAAGCCAGGGACTTTTACTGGAAATGCACGGCGGCCACAACCATTAGTTCATCAAGCGATGCTATAGCGGGCCTCGACCGTGACGCTGCGCTGCCGCGAGAGTGTGGCCCAATTTCCGTACCTGGAACAGAGTTCAGGGTGATGACTGATGTTCCTTGCGCTCGGCGTCAGTACTGCCATCGCTGGGCCGCCACTCGTTTTTGTAGCTAGCTGGGTAGGTCTACACCAAGCCAGTACAGGGAGTGCTTGCCTGGTCTACACGCTACAACTACAACAGTACAAGTCACTTGTGTGTCTGCCAGTAGTGCATCCACGGACAAAAATGAACAGGTACACGTTGTGGTACAGGTGACAGAGCGAAGTGTGGACAGCGCACCGCGTGTACGTCACGTACTCTGAAACGGCACGCCGTTTTTATTACCTAGTGTGGACAGGCCCTAAGGGGCCGTCCGTAAATATCGAACTTTTTTCACCAAACGAATTATTTTAGTTTAGACCCAACCCCTCCCTCCCTCCCCCTCAGAACGTAAAAATTGTTGACATATACATGCATATACAACAAAAGTCGCTAGTGTGTCACTTCTCCTATGGCCATGTGCATGTATCGAACTTTTCTGAAATGAAATTGGTCAACCCCCTCCCACCCCATAACGAAATTATTTCGTTTCGTGAAAATAGTTCGATAATTGTGGACGACCCCTAACAGATGTGTATGTACGTGTACATGTGTCTTGCATGCATTGTTCAAGGCAAAGTCATCCCGCACCGCTGCACTGCGGCTACAACGACTTACATGCAGTGACATAATGTAAAGAGTGACCCGGAGGTCCGGGCACGTACGTAAAAGTAAACAAGTAAAAAAGTAAATTATCGTGTCCGTTCCCGAAGGGAACTCACGACGGCCGCTAACACCCGGTAAACCCTAACGTGGCACAGCCATAATAGTATACCATGTTCCAGACATGCCAGTGTGCCTGATACAAGAGGAACGTCGTTATATCCGATGTATTTTACCTGTTTTTCAGGTCTTCGGGCACCAAAAAAGTGTCAGTAAATTCGATCTGTCGTTATTTTCGAGGTCGTTTTATACCCGATCTATAATGTACAGAAAGGACTTGCTAAGAGACTTGGGCAACAGAATTGTGTCGCCGAGTAAACGGCTCGATTTGTCGTTATACCCAAGGTCGTTATATCTAATCTCCAGTGTTCTCCACTCTACGCGCAGTGAGTTTCTGCCAGAGAGTGCTTTTTTTATTACTCCGCTGGTCGCTAAAAACGGGCTGGAAACGTACAACTGTGCCGGACACTGCACCACGTGATGTGAGTTTTCGCCCGGTCGGCGTACCCCAGGGTGTCAGGAGTTGCACACTCTGGGGGGGGGGGGGGGGGGGGGCAAGTTGTATTCTCAGTGGGGAATGTACCAGCGGAACCGTCTCTTTCTACCACCCAGTCCGGCCAGTGTACCCGACCCCTGCCCTGGTGACAACTCCATGCTACATGTACGTGGCTATTTTAAAACTTGAAAACTTATGAACTTACTTTCAAGTTCCAAGCCGATGAGTTCTTCTGTTTGATTGATACCGGTGCCCATGATTCCACATGAATTGTTATTTGCTCCGCCACAAATCATCGCCGCCTCTACAGGGCCTGCTCTAGACATTCAACACAGCCCGGTCAAAGTGTACCTGGCGCATGCAGGCCAGCCGGGTCAAGCCGGGTCAGATCATCCGGCAGAAAAACAAACCAAAAAGCCTGCTCAAAACGCAGGAAAACAGAAAGGCGAATTTATTACCGGAAATCGGAAATTTTAGAGAACAAGGCGAACTATCAAAGTCCACAAACGTAGATAGAAGGTAAACGATAAAGCGTGAGTTCTTTTTCTCTTCGCGCCGCTTTTGACTGCTTGCCCCCGGCCCCTTCGATTTTGAATGTCCTGACTTCCTGCTCGCCGCTGGCCAGATCGCGCTCGAACCAGTTGACCCCAGTTGACCCTAGCCGAGTTTCTGTCGCTTGTAGACTGTAGTGTAGTGTGTACGATTGCGCTAGATTTGCAACAGATGGGGTCCGCGAGTCGTAAAATACCGGTATTTTAGGAATCCATTGTCAGTTTGAGACATTTTTCAGCCAGGTCAGACTGGACCCGGTGTTATCTGTTCAGCCAGGTCGTGCAGTTCCCCAGCCGGGCGCGTGACCCGGCTGACCCGGCTCTCCAGCAGGCCCTGCTCTAATCTGTCGTTTCCCTGGACATTCTCAGTACAGTACAATGACCAGTATACATGTACTGTAGTATTGGGTTATATTATTATAATACCATCAAGAGTACAATACCATGTATTGTATATGAATTATGAAAGCCATTCTGCCACCATCAGCAGCCGCACCGCAATGCCGCATGCCTACTCGAGCGACAACCAGATCTGCAACACATCATCCATCGCAACTCACCAGTATCCTTCCCCCTCAGGCACGAAACAACACGCTCCGCTCATTTCCCCACTCCCTCATCGAAACGTGGAATCAGCTCCCACCTACCCTTCTGCAGTCTCCCCCTTCTCGCAGAGGCATGCACACGTTCAAGAAAAACGTCAACGACCACTTGCGGCGCAGCAAGTGGGAGTGGGCCACAGACAGGCTATGATCTCTGCCAACACACCAGCCTAATTATACTGACCGCACTCCAGCTCCCTTCTACCCCTCTTTGATCCCCTTCGCTCAGCCTTAAAACCCGATTATCAGTTCACTCCATCTTCCTACGGTGCACTGCTTTTACTATTGTTTTGTCCTATCCCAATCTCAAATTCTCCCCATTATCGTTTGCAAAGCCAGTGCTCCCCTCTTGGATGCACATGTTTCTTTTCTCCTATGTATCGGCGCACAGGAGTAACAATGATTCCGAGACCTTTGGTCGGAGGAGTTACTTTTGCCCCGCCCCCACTTCCATCCAATATGCCACCGCCCCCGCTGTGCAGCATCTGATGGTACTGTGGTATTCAGTAAAAAAAAAAAAAAAAAAAAAAAAAAAATGATTGTACATGTCCTTTGTAGTGAACGAAGCTTCGAAGACAGTGAGTGAAAAAAATAGTACAGTCGAGGCATAGTGCAGCTAGTGGTGGCCTGCGGAAGCGAATGCTAGTTTGTGTGTTTCTGAACATTCAAGCGATGCCAACGCGAATCCCGCGAATTATTAGTCGACTCACGTCACGTCAGGTCAACGCTGTGACGTCATGCTGGTGGACCTACGTCAACAATACATTGTCGTCATGGAATCATTCAATATGGCGATACGATCGAGGTGTGTTGTTTGAAAAAGTGGCGAAAAAACATGATTTTTGCCGTGGGTATTTTCTTGTTCGACATCAGTTTGGAATTTTTCTTTCCACAATTCCAGTGGTTTTCAAGCACGAAGTATTTCCTTGCTGGAAGAGCAATTACAGTTCGGTCTAGATGGCTCTCGAGATAGAAGCTGCGGATGTAGTCCGTCTTATTCAACAATATTTGAAAGAGAATAACTTGCTCCGGACTTTGGCAGTTTTGCAAGAGGAGTCACAAGTCTCTCTCAACACTGTGGATAGCTTGGATGGCTTCGTCTCAGACATCAATAACGGTCACTGGGACACTGTGTTACAGGCTATTCAACCTCTGAAGCTTCCAGACAAGACGCTGATCAGTCTCTATGAGCAGATTGTTCTCGAGTTGATAGAACTCCGTGAACTTGGCGCAGCGCGATCACTGCTGCGAGAGACAGACCCTATGATCTTGTTGAAGCAGCAAGATCCAGACAGGTACGTTCGTCTGGAGCAACTTCTTCAAAGAAACTACTTTGATGCTCGCGAAGTTTACCCTGACGGAGGCAGCAAGGAGAAGCGCAGGGCTGCCATTGCACAGGCCCTGTCTGGTGAGGTATCAGTGGTACCACCGTCTCGCCTGCTTTCTCTGCTTGGGCAGTCCCTGAAGTGGCAGCAGCATCAAGGTTTGCTGCCACCCGGCACTAGCATTGATGTGTTCCGTGGCAAAGCTGCTCTTCGTGACCAGGAGGACGAGACATATCCAACGCAGGTGCACCGTAACATCAAGTTTGGCACGAAGACGTTCGTTGAGAGCTGTTTGTTCTCTCCCGACGGTCAATACCTGGTCAGTGGGAGCACAGATGGTTTTGCTGAGGTGTGGAATTTCCAAACTGGGAAAATCCGTAAAGACTTGAAGTACCAGGCCCAGGATAACTTCATCATGATGGATTCGTCGATCACAGCCCTTAGTTTCAGTCGTGACAGTGAGATGCTGGCAACAGGCAGCAGGAGTGGAAAGGTCAGAGTGTGGAAAATAGCGACAGGGCAATGCCTGCGCAAGTTTGAGAATGCACACAGTGATGCCGTCAGCTCGATTACGTTCTCCCGCGATAGCGCGCAGCTGCTCACCGCGTCGACAGACGAGCTAGTTCGCATCCATGGCCTGCGGTCGGGCAAGACATTGAAGGAGTTCCGCGGTCACAGGTCATTTGTCAATCTAGCAGTGTTCACCCAGGATCAGCACAATATCATCAGTGGTTCCAGCGACGGCTCTGTCAAGGTCTGGAGTGTGAAAACGACCGAGTGCCTGCACACATTCAAAGTTGCCATTGCCGGACAGGTCGGTGAGCTTCCTGTCCTGTCGGTGCATGTCAATCCTCGCAACACCGAACAAGTCATCATTTGCAACAGATCAAACACCGTGTCCATCATCAACCAGCAAGGCCAGGTCGTGAGGAAGTTCACGTCGGGAAAACGTAGCGGCGGTGACTTCGTTGCGTGCGCTGTCTCGCCGCGAGGAGAATGGATTTATGCCGTTGGTGAAGATTTCATCCTCTACTGCTTTAGCACGACGACCGGAAAGCTAGAACGTACTATGGAGATCCACGAGAAGCAGGTACGTGGCCTGTGTCTACATCCGCATCAAAACCTGCTGGCTACATTTGCAGAGGACTCGCAGCTAAAGCTATGGAAGCCATAGTGTCGTGCTAGTTCCAGTGATACTGTTCACCCCTGTCCACCTTGTACATATTTCCTCGTCCTCCTGGTTTGCAGGTGTTCCCTTTCTGTACCAGTAGTGTTTTGAGGACCTGATCTTGCAACAGCCAATTAGCGTTGACTACAGTGTCGTATACAGCTAGCCATTGTGTATATTGTTGTGCGGTGTCTTGTTTGCGCTCTGCACTTGTCTCCGTGTTTTGTACATGATGCATTTTAGATTGTGTATTGCTTTTCTATTCGAGACACATGACAAGAAAAAATTAGCGGATTGCTCATAAAATCTCTCCATTTCCCTTCCAACAGGACTCCATGAAACCTACACTCTTCTGATGTAAACAATAACATGACATAACTCTGCCTTTCCCCTCGCCTTGATCTCATTGTCGTTTCTATGTTGTTATTTTTTTAGGGATTCTGGATTGCACTTCGCAAATGTGATGCATATACATGCACTGCATTGATAATAATTATTTTGTCATTCATTGTAAACCTTGAAGTTGCTGTCAACTGTGTAAAATTACCAAAAAAACCTGTAATTCGGAGTCATGCTGAGTATTTGTTTTGTGTATGTGTGCCCCCTTGTAAGCATACAAGCATGTGTGTGTGTGCGAACATACAAGTGTACCATGTGGTGTGCATGCAGAAAACAAGAGTAGAGGTAATGCAATGTACTCGCATACTCGTACTGGAACAAAATTACGAGTACTTGTACCCGACTATTGCTTGCATACTTTTCATCCTTGCTTTTACTCCATGCATACCCATCTCAAGGGATCATTGTTCTGTGCTGCTGCCATTGTTTGTCAGCATTACGTGTCATGCTTGTGCAGGAAAAAAAATCCTGTGTGCACTTTTCTCTTCCCCTGTGCCCCAACTTGGCCAAGAGGGATGGTGCAATCCAGCATACCCGAAACACAACAACCTCTCATTGTATACGTGATGACACGTTAAAAAGATACTCGCCGTATCATAACAATAACTATTATGATCAGCAAGAACAGACTTCTAAGTCAAGCATCCACCAAACTGATAATAGGTAATTACTACCACATGCACTTATTCTATGACAACATGAATGTGAGAATGCTAATAGCATTATGCTACTACATGTACCTGGCTTTGCTTGGGTCGGGTTAGCAGTATAACGAGTCAGTTGCGATGTTTGAGATCTATTCAACCCTTGCTTTGTCAAAGCCTAGCACGAATTTCGACCATTACGTGTACCATAATGTGCAAGACAGCTACCGCAGGAAAAAGCATCAATCCAACAAAGACAGGTATATTGTATAGAGTACAGTGCACCAGAAACACGTAATGAATCTGTCCCAAAAACTCATATCAACATCCTACACATGAAATCCCAGAACATCCAGTGATGGAGCGTGTAAGCGGCTACTAGCCACAGCTGTGTTATCAGGCGACAGGAGCGATGTAAATTGCCTTGTGCGACTCGATTGTTTGAATGTCGTTCTCAAGCTGCTTCATCTCGGCTTCAATGCGCTCTTTCCTGTGGAATACAAGATAGACCAGACCGTATAATTCACAGACAGAGATTAGTGCTTGCCGGACAATAACGGTTACCAAGCCTGGGTTTCCTGATGAGTACTTTTGAAGTTAGAAGTTGGCATATGCGATGTTCTCAGAAACATTGCTTGTACTCGTACAGTGCTGTAACGATCCTCAGTGAACCAACCTTGCTTTCTTAGGTAAGGTGTCCGTGACCACCGACAAGCCAAGGAACTGATGTTGCAGCTCCTGCCAGTGCTTCTTGAGGCCCTCTAAAACGTTGTCACTGGATGCAGACAGGGAACATGTATCAAGGAGATCAATTTACATTATAATTGTTGACGTCCAACGAACAGCGGTTCGTATACGTTACTGGTAAGCAGGTTTTAAAGTTCGGATTGATTGCGAAAAAGCTATAAGCTATATCTCAAACTCTCAGGAGAATGGAGTTCATCCTGGAAAAACTTAACCTGGACAGAGCAGAGTTTCATTACTAGATTCCTACCCACAGCTTCCCACACAACACATTAGTTCAGCTCAGTATCACAGTACTCGTATACTACATACAGCAAGCATACCGATCTTTGTCTTGGATTGTGGCCAGTTCGTTAGCCTTCTGCCTGCGTGCTACGTAGGCATCATAGTTGTCCTGTGCTTCATCCATCACCGCCTTTCTGGTCTGAAGATACTTGGGAACTTCACCATAACCCTACAAATACACACAGTCACACAGTTACCATGGTAACACAACTGCGGTTGCACACGGTCGCATGGAAACAGATCCGGCACCGTGGTATGCACGGCAAAATAGCCTGTGGGAAAAATCATGCCTATGACATAGTGCAAATCTGTTACAGTGTGAACCATGCAGTCTGCAGATCTATGGCCCATATGGGAAAGTGTACCTGCACATGCAAGAGTAGACATTGAGATGCTGTGTGTCCCCAAAGCTGAATTTTAGAACTAGGCACCGGCAGGAGTTACAGGATTTGGAACTAGCTACAGTACATGTCACGTCAAAGAGGTCAAGCTATGACATCACTGTGCTGAGATGAGTACTATGGCATGGAGTGGCAAAGCCGCAGCACAGAGCATGATGCGTTTGTACTGGTTTGCTGTCCATACTGTTTTTGCAAATCAATACAATTTAAGGATAACAAAATATGTGTAGTGTATGTACATACTAGGGCTGAGTCGGGTAGCATTTTCCGGCTTTGGGTATCGGGTTCGGGTAGTTTTCCACGGGTAGCGCGGGTACCCGATCGGGTAATGTTTCCATGGTAACACCACAATGCACCCCTTCCCTTACAAACTGGGTAGACATGTGGAGTATTACATGAATTTGTACCGTGACGTGCACTGTACATGGTGTCATCTGCGACTTTGGGTTTTCGGGTACTAGTCTGTAACCGTCTACCCGAGGTCCCACGGGTATCACGGGTACCCGACTACTCGTGCACACCACTAGTACATAGTCACATCATCACATCATCATCTTGTACCTGTTTGTTGACATACTTCGGCAGAAGCCCGGCATCTGTCCGCTGATCCTGCACAAAGCAAGATGAGAATCATACAAGGCAAAGAAAGAAAGTGAGGGAAGAGGGGACTTATTGAGGAAATAATGATTTGCTGTCATTCACCCGATTGCCATATCAGATGGTAACAATCAGAATGACTCATCCAAAATATTGCGTTGTATCACTCACCAAACGTTTGCAAAATGTAATTATAAGATCAAATTTATCAGAAGGGCACTCCTGACATCTCAGGCCAGTAGAGAGCCTTGGGCCGCAATGTTTGCAGCGAAGAGACCGTGTCTCAAGAGTGTTGGGATTGAGGAACCTTTTAATGTGTAACTGGCTGCAATGAATTCTGCAAGTACTTATAATAGTACAGAGCTGGTTGAAATACAAATTCCGGGAAAGGAAATACTGCACTGATGCATAGGAATTCCACATCGGCAGATGTACTTGAAGTAAGTTTTTTTAAAGGTTTTAACCCGTGACGGCTGGAATATTGGGAACTCGAGTGCCGGGCTTTCCTGCTGTTTGCCAACTCACCTCAAGGACTTTGGTCGTTCCGGTAGGTGCATCAACCAGCTTAGGTTGAGGCCTGGTCGGCACTGCAAAAAAGAATGAATAGCATGATGATTGATCAAACCCAGCTCAAATGGTAATGGCTGTCACCATTACATGCGATGATGTCAGGTTAGATTCAAGCACTGTAACCATAGTGACCACCCAGACAAATTCAAATAGTGCAGGTGGAACCAGTAGCAAAAAATAGCCCTGTCAAGAACCGTTCAGGGTTGTTCACACTGGCTGAACGTGGACATGCCAAGATAAAAGATACTTCGATTTGCATCGGGTAGAAATATGGAGTGGGTGAGATGGATTTCTGAATGGCGAAACTGTGACTATCTTTGTGCTCAGCCCCTTCCTTTATCCAATGCCAAAATTGTAAACTTCAATTTAGTCAGCTGCGTTGGTCTATCTGTCACATGCAACAGAACTATAAAACAAAGGGTATGAAGGTACCGGGTTCAAGTCCTGCTTGGAAGCGGAAGGATTTTTCCAGCCGTGCTGCAATCCACAGTTAATTGGGAACTCGTGGCCTGGCACGAGGGAAACATGGATGCAGTGAATGGGATTTTCGGTCTTTGCCCACTTTGTGGTGGGTCTGATCTACTCACTTCCCACCGCTTACGAGATGCATCTGCGCCTTGATCCTAGAGGGTGGTGGCATTCCTTCGGATGCGGAAAACACGGCTGAAGGCCGAGTCTCACGCGAACCGTGAATTTTTTGCATCGTAGAAATTGAAACCAGTTTGTGCCAACATGATGGCGTTTGAATTTTGTTTACTTGTAAATGCGGCTCGGATCCGCTAATACTACAATCATGTACTATCTGAAGTTTTCAGCCTTCAAAGTTCACAATTTGGCACCTTGCACGCAGCATACATACGTGTGTATTGCAAATACGAGTCATGACTGACAAGCATTAGGGGCCGTCGCAAAAATTTTTAGTTGTCCCTGAAACGAACATCATTCGTTTGGGGGGGGGGGGGGGGGTTGCGAACCAAAATCGCAAGTCGACCGACAGTGTACATTATGTGCAATATACATGCATGCAGTATTCGTCGTCCAGCATAGCAAGCTGCGTTCGTTTCAGAGGGAGGGGAGGTGGTCCGAGTACGAAACGAACGATGTTCGTTTCAGGGACGACAACAACTTTTGCGACGACCCCTTACACCATGACTTGCAGTAAATGAACTCCTTTTGAACCTAATTTCATTTACTGCAAACTAAAACAGTAGCCCTCACAGCAAGAACTGCACAAACAGTTCTACGAGCATTGGTTTCACTGCAGTGGAATTCCGTTGAATATGTAGCGTCACATCGTATTCTTTAGAAGCTTATCTCTGGCACATTTTTCATCATTTACATGTATTATCCCAGTTCTACACGCTTACAATCATATGCTCAAGTGCAGAGCTCTGCCCTAGACTATGTCTTTATCTCTTTCTTTGCTCACCTATTGCTCATCACTTCTTTTACAGATGTGGTATCATGGAAATTTTGGAAACCCCCTCGATAGGCGAAAGCCTTTGAGGAATCCTTTTAAAAACAATAAAAATTACAAAATTAAAGGCCCTCACACACTTACCAGACGAAATAGCTTTCACGGCATTGTGCGTGATGAAATCCTTGTGAGTCTTTACACCCATAGCAGGCCTCTCAGTATGTCGGGGAACAGCAGGTTTCGTAGAAGTCTTTGTTGACGTGGCACCGAACGATCTTAGCAAACTCTCTGACTCCGCTGTCTTTCCTATATTTTCAAAGTCAACATAATGGACAGCATAACCATTACATTAGAATTCTTGTAGTTTCCAAACAGAGAGGAACAATCTGTGTATAAGTTAATATTTCATGGAAGATGTGGACCAACGCATATGGCCGATTGGTTTGCAGGCCTGCCTGCGAATCATGAGGTCCCGAGTTCAAGACCCGCGCTGGTAGCAGGGAGCGTGTAAAAAGACTTTTTACGCGTGCTGAACTGCGCCGACACCCACGGTCAACTGGGTACTCACAGCTCGGAGTGAGAATAACACGGATGCAGTTTACAGGGTTATGGGCCGTTACACGCCCGATTGGTTGAGAGACTAACCTCCTCTCCCCTGACTCACTTGTGAGGTCTGCATTCGCCACTAAGGTTAATAGGCATAGTGGTGGCCTGCGGATGCGAAGGCTAGTTTGTTTGTTTCTGAACATTCAAGCGATGCCGACGCGGATCCCGCGAATATTATTATTATTAGATGTGAAGTTGCTCTGATGAAGTAGTACAGTGCTCATAGCTTCTCATGCACGCCAAATCATGGGATGTGGTGTATACATAAGTAAGATGTCGTCCTTTAGCCTGGTTCTTTTAAGCTGTGTTCACAACTGGCGCGTGTACGCATGAAACCACGCGTTTGTTGGCATTTTTGCTGGCTTTTGGGGCGCCATGCGTACGGAAACGCGCCGAAATGGAAATTCCAACATGTTGGAATTTTCAGCGCGTATCAGGCGCGTACCAGAGTACATGCCAGTCACTTTGACTGGCGGGGTCAACAAATTAGTACTCGAAGGTGTCGCACGCGCTAAATACGACTTGGATTGCTGTTTTTTGTGAACGCTTGAGCGCGCGTTTGGGCACGCATGAACCGCAAGCGTACCGCGTCCATGCGCCAGTTGTGAACACAGCTTTAGTCTTGCTTGTGGGGCGAACAAACCATTGAAAAACAAAATATCGCAATAGTACATGGGTGTGTTTGAAATACATCCATGCACACATTACACGTAAGGATTGGGCACATTACATGTAATACATATTCAACTTCACATATGTAACCATCGGCAGAAACACGGTATCATCCTTTACTGTAATTCCAGTACTAAAACCCAGTGGTCAATGCCGACACGTTGGGAGATATTAGCAGTGTATGAGCAGAGGACTATCCCTGATGTGAAGAAATTACATACTACCTATTTGTTTGGTTACTCCTTCAATTAAATTGATGACTGTTTCTAACTCACTTGTTGTTCCCAACTCTTCGACTCGATGCTCTTTGGAATGCTTCTTTAGATAAGACTGCGTTGATGGCATACCTACCTTAGCAGGTCCCTGTACAGAATAGCAAAAAATGGATGATCAGCTCATCACTGGGCATAGGAACACTCTAGCTTCAGGATTTGCAGCATGTAACGCAGGGGCGTCGGAAGGTATTTCAGAGTGGTATGGTCAACTATCTGAAGTGCTGGAGGAGGGTGAGCTCCGCTGAATAAAACGGATATTTAGAGCCCGAATCAGTACATTCTATTAGGAGAGGGAAGAGGAGAAGCAGCAGCAGCAAAATGGGAGGAGGACAAGGAGGAGGTGGAGGAGGAGGAGCTGAGGAGGAAGAGGAGTTGAGGAGGAGGAGGAAGAGGATGTAAACAGAGGATGTAAGGCAGAGAAGTGAAGCAAACTATTCGATTTTTAGAGTGATGTTTGGCTTTATAGGAGATCAAACTGGGACTTCATCGTGTGGACGAACTGGCATTCGTGAGCAGTGCATAGTGTATGCAAGAGTGCACAAGCTGATGGAGAGTGGCCGGTAAGCTGGCAATGAAGTATGAGTACACTGAGTGAGTATGCACAGACTGGTCAGTGAGTATGCACAGTGAGTATGCTGAGCGAGTATGCTGAGTGAGTATGCTGAGTGAGCATGCGGAGTGTTGCTCACCATGGTCTTGCTGGGAACTTGCTTAGACTTGATCTCCTCTTTGACCTGTGGACGAAATGTCGATGTGTACCTGAGGCACGAGCAGCCGGCAGAGCGACAGAACGACAGAACGGCAGTCACACACACACGTGTACACACACACACACACACACACACACACACACACACACACACACACACACACACACACACATACACACAGACCCATATGCACACCCACCCACACCCACACAAACCCACACAATTGTACCACACACACACATACACACACACACACACACACACACACACACACACACACACACACACACACACACACACACACACACATCAGTCATCTGTGTTGCACTATCTTCACAAATCAGTCCTAAAATAATTATTGTGTTCCATGGTCAGCATTTGCATCGAGCTGCAGTTAGATTTAGGAGTTTCACAGTGAGCAGCGTACTTCAAGTATACTAGTATTCGATTTGGTTCCATACTAGTACTAGTAGTAGGCATAATACTGCGTCAGATGTACATGACTGTAGTACCAGAGATTTGTGCTATAAGCCAGCAAGCAAGATACTGGGTGGAATTTGAACAGCTCGCCTACCCTGGGCTTGTGCTACATACCTGGGTTGTTTTTCCCTTTTCTGCGCCGGCCTGGGAACTAAGTTATAGATGGACTCCTCCTTGACTACCGCTCGTCTCCCGTAGTAAGCCATTTCTGACTATTGCACGCAACAACTGGCTTTCGTGATGGCAAGAAGGACACGCACTGCGGCCTGAAGTTGAGTGGGGCAAATCTCTGTTCTCTCAGGAGAGCCCGTTGACGGTTCCGACGGCGTTTTCACTGCCTCTTCTCAGTGATGGTGGTGATGAGCTCAGTATCTTTCACTTCAGAAAGGAGGGAAGTCACTCTTTGATCGCCTGCATGTGTGCTCAGCCCAGTGAACGTCAAAGGCAGTTTGATTTGAAGAGCTTTACTGACACTGTACTGAACTGACGACGAACTGCTACTTGCAATGCGGCGTTTCCCTCAGAATGGGAATGATGTTTATGTGTCCATGGCTCATACTCCTATTAGTATGCCCATACTGCAGCGGGCATACGACCATCTCATGCTACTTACACAGCGGATAACGCTGTCAAGACTAGACAGTATGTCACTATGTGTATGCGTCGTCGACAGCCATGCCAGCATGCATAGCTAGCACTAGCAGCGTAGCAAGGGGGTTAGGTGATTCAAGAAGCGCATTCAAGAAAGCAACCATGAGTATCCATGGTATCCTGGTGATGGGTGCAAGGTAGCGTTGCTAGGCGACTAGGTGACTAGCGCAGCGCACTACACTAGTCACTACACAGCAGCCGTGGCATGGTCATGGTCTGATGATTGCTGGTTGTCACCGGTGCGCCGGGCACTAAAATAAAGCGGAACGTCATACCGGTACGGTAGCCATTGAATATTGCCAGTCGAGACTAGAGTAGAGTGCCAGTACTACTAGAAATGCAGTCTCCTAACAATGTCTGTTCACCTTCTGTCCTATGTTCACCCTCCTTCTAATGACTATAAGTATAACATTGTACAGTCTCTCCTCCTAACATTTCATATCATGTGCCTGTCACTTCTGTCTTTTTTCTTCTTTTTTGGTGCGTTTGATGTTCCCATGACTATGATGACTCCGAGACCTCAGGTCGGCTAGCGGCTGAGGGTAACGAGCCTGACCATCACTATGCTCCCATAATTATGCAATTTTGTCCAAATCAGCTCCTGCTCAAGCATGCCCACCGTCCTTCTGTCTGTTTGTCTGCCTCTCTCTTTCTCTTCCTGCATTTCTCCACCCCTCCCTCTCCCTGTCCCTCCCTGTCTCTGTGTGTGTCTCTCTCTGTCTATCTGTCTGTCGCTGCCTGTCTCTCTGTCTATCTCATAATCTGTCTCTATCTGTCTGTCTCTCTCTCTCTGTCTCTCTCTGTCTCTCTGTCTCTCTCTGTCTCTCTCTCTGTCTGTCTCTCTCTGTCTGTCTCTCTCTCTCTCTCTCTCTCTCTCTCTCTCTCTCTCTCTCTCTCTCTCTCTCTCTCTCTCTCTCTCTCTCTCTCTCTCTCTCTCTCTCTCTCTCTCTCTCTCTCTCTCTCTCTCTCTCTCTCTCTCTCTCTCTCTCTCTCTCTCTCTCTCTCTCTCTCTCTCTCTCTCTCTCTCTCTCTCTCTCTCTCTCTCTCTCTCTCTCTCTCTCTCTCTCTCTCTCTCTCTCTCTCTCTCTCTCTCTCTCTCTCTCTCTCTCTCTCTCTCTCTCTCTCTCTCTCTCTCTCGCTTTCCACAGCCACCCCGAGTGCTTTTCGTGTAGTCCTCTAGGTATCCTAGAGACATTTCGCACGTTGACCCAAAGGTACTTTGTGACGAGACTTGTCCCGAAATGAAGAATCTCACTCAGAATAGCTACAGCACATGTACCATGTACTCGTATAAGCCAGACCTTCTACAGAATGTAGAGCTCTTACGAATCCTTGAGCCAGATGAGGAAACTATTATTATTATTATTATTATTGCAACTTGTATTGTGGCAACACTGGCCAACACTCAGATGCACTGCTTCTTCACACAGCTGAACAATTCTTCTTTCTTCTCAACGTTTCGGTCACTCTGACCATCTTCAGGATGAAGCCGAAGCAGGATGAAGGCTTCATCCTGAAGATGGTCAGAGTGACCGAAACGTTGAGAAGAAAGAAGAATTGTTCAGCTGTGTGAAGAAGCAGTGCATCTGAGTGTTGGCCAGTGTTGCCACAATACAAGTTGCTATAATGAAGCTGCGTGAAGCGTCGTTCCGAATTTATTATTATTATTATTGTGAGTATTCGACTTGTGCTCGTCTCATACTTCAAATACTCGTACTCGTGTCAAAGTTCCAAATACTAGTCTCTAGCACTACAGTACTTGTACTAGTGACCGTAATAGTAATACGACCAATGAACACAAAAGGTCTGAAAATATGCCAAAGCCTGACAAAGGATGAAACCCGTTCGCATGATCGCCTTGCAGCGACTATGCCTATGGGACTGACATAGTCATTGGAAGGGTACTGACATCGCGTGAGCTGTGACGTGCAAAGGCCGCATGCCCGCTGCATGCTGTGATTGCGAATTATGTGCTAGGAATGAGGCCTCGAGGGGCGGTCGCTATACTGCTGCTGGTGTAGTGCTGCGTTTCTCGTCACCAGCGCGACCGTCCGATCTGTCCATGTAATAATTTCTCCACATACCTGGCAGATACTTCTGTCCAAGTAGGCAGGATGAGGTAGGCTAAATCCTGGGATCTCTGGGCCACACACAAAGTAGCTTTTTTAGTTAGTGCTGGCATACCTCCCCGCGACAACTGGCGGCCTGCACAATCGAATTGTATTGTCGTAGAGGGTGGTACATGGTAGTGATTTCAACTCAGTCTGGCTCATCAAAGAAGGAACTATTTGATTGGAGGCTTCTCCGAGTTGTTTGTCGCGGCGAAGAAAGAGTAATCGCTGCGGAAGCTGAGTTTGTCGAACATGAAGCTGTACATAACCATAGGTGAGTTGGTATCGACAAGCGTTGCCGCCGGTATTCCATATTGAGATTGGCCTGGCTGGAATATTATTGTAATATAATTATGTATGAGGTACGGTGCGATTGATCTGGGACATGATGAGATTGGTCTAGGGTGAAGTGAAATTCGAGATGTGGTAAGATTGGTCTGAGATGTAGTGAGATATGGGGTGAGTATTATAATTTCTGTAAGAAGTGAAAGCCTTCCGGGAAGAGGACTGACCACCGTTATGTATGATACCTAGCAATACAATGCCAGAGTTGTTGTGTCAGGTCAGTGATACCATGTTCTGTGATAGCCCGCATAAGACTATTAAGAGGCTTATTCAACTTAAAAATACAACCCCAGAAATGTAGCGCAGAAACTATGAAGGAGGGACGCTTTTTGAATGAGCAGAGGACACGGCGAGACTGATAAGGAGCTCTGCAGACCCACCGAACATAGAGACTGTGGTTTTAGTACAATCATGTACCTCTCACGCAGTGACCGGATTGTCCGTGGAGAGTCGAGACTGATGTCCTGTTCCGGTCGTATAATTATGATTGTGCAGTGCTGTGTGGCCTGCTTGCGGCCAGTGCCAACGCCGCCATCAAGAGCTGGAAGGGACCAGACAACAGCTACACCAATACAGTCAATTGGCTCGGTGGCTCACTACCCTGCTCTGCCGACAATGCCACGTTTGCACCAGTCTGGGTAAGCAGATTGCCAATTCAAGCAGCTGGTGTGCGAATGGATCATGTGCATGTACATGTAACGAGGAGCAGTGCGTCCCCTATTTCAGTATTTGTACAGGCATCCGTGAATGCAATGACTTTCACTGTAACGCCAGGGCAGTATAAATGAACAAACTTACCCCACGTGATTGTAATGATCACTTCGAGGTCATAATGACACACATAATGCCACCTCGAGTATACTAGAACATAGCTCCTGGCGTGTGCCGAAGAACTTTGCTACGAACGTGTAAGTGTAGGTTGAACATTGCTACATACTGCGAAGTATCTTTTTTTAAATGGTGTGTTCAGTACTATCAAGACCTAGTACCTGGAAGGGTCCTAACTTGTAATGTAGCACTTTGGTACATAGTGTAGCTTAGTCTGTCAGGAACTAGGAGTCACCCCACATGCTCTACATGTTTCAACTTCTAGTACACACCACAATCATCACATCACTGTGCAAGCATGATAACTGTAAATGTATCATGCAGAGAAATGTCTTCCACTCTCGTGTTTGAATTCCACAATCGAAAGTTGAAAACTTGAAATATAGATGTGTTTTTGTTGTGTTGGTTGCGTTGCTATGTCTCAGTCACCCAGCACTGTGTTCATTCAGAACAGCATCAACATCAACAACCTGGTAAGTCCAGCGTCACACTATGCTCTCAGCACAACATAGTCATTATTTTCGAGGCTGCAAAAGTCTCCTCACAATGCTACTTCAAAAACATGATCGCTAATTTTTGTTTTTGTTTTAGCCCGGGTTTTATTTTTGTTCAATCCTGTACCTACAGAGTGATGTTAGCATAATAGGGTACTTCTACATGACTTTGTAGTGTTTCATGCATTAGCGAAATAGTCCTCAGTAACTAACGTTGCTATTGTTTTTACCAGCAATACAAGCATTTCTTCTCGATGTGAACACCATGCACCCGCACCTGTCTTATGAACCTCTCTTGATCATCTGCACAGATATTGCCAGAGGATGGCACATTAACGTTCGCCGACACCATGAACATTGGACTGGGTGGACAGCCAACGTTCGGGTGCAGAGGTGAGAAGTCCTTAGCCCTCAATTTCTTGCAAACTTTAACCTAGGACCAAGGTAGTCTACATGTATCTGTGCTGTACTGTGCAGAGGTAGCTTTGATCCATGCAAGAGCATTCAATGTGCAATTCAAGGATCTGAATCTCACAGAACTACCCATTTAGGACCATTGCCTACTCAGCTTCTATATTTTTCATACAAATGAACTTGCACCTATTATTATTATACGCTTGAAACTACATGCTTCTTCCCTGTTGAACTATTCGCAGGAGGCAGCGCTGTTTTTCAGGGCCAGGCACCAGGCAACTGGGATGACCCGACCAACTGGAACACTCTCGATAGCGTCACAAATGCTGTACTGCCAACAACCAAGATCCCGCCGGCCGACCGTCTGCCGTGTAACACTGACTCCGTGCGATTCCCAGCGGTGAGGTCATACTTATTGCTTTGTGGCTGATGTTGCATGTCACAAATGCTGCTACAATTGTCATGGGTACAGCAAAACCTACCTAACCAGACACCTCTACACAAAGGACACCTCTACACAAGGGACACCTCTACACAAGGGACACCTCTACACAAGGGACACCTCTACACAAGGGACACCTCTACACAAGGGACACCTCTACACAAGGGACACCTCTACACAAAGAACACCTCTACACAAGGGACACCTATAAACAAGGGACACCTCTACACAAGGGACACCTCTACACAAAGAACACCTCTACACAAGGGACACCTATAAACAAGGGACACCTCTACACAAGGCACACCCTCAACAAACAATAAAGGACACCTCTCAAGTTAGGCTGCGGACGCCATTGTGTTCCGCTATTTGTGCCCTGCAGAGCCGCCCAGTGAATGTACACCTTAACCGCCCCGTCACAGTCAATCAGTTCGTTGTCAATAACCAGGTGAGTGCTGTGGCTATAACTAGGTGAGTGCTGTGGCTATATCCTGTGTCATTGCATGCTGCATGTTTAAAATGTGGAAGTTAATGCAACTTTGTTTCAATCAACTGAACTTGGGAATCACTTAAAATCTAAATTGGAATCTCATCTGCAAAGTAGATCCACCTGTATGGATAGTTGAATTCAGCATCAGCTACGTGTGCTATGCAGTGAACGTGTATCTAAAGGATTGTATGGATACACGCCATGTACTTTGAAGTACATTATATGTAGACAAGGAGGTGGTACACATCTTCCATGACTATAATGTAGACAAGGAGGTGGTACACATCTTCCATGACTATAATGTAGACCGGCTTTGTTATGATGTGTACTGTGTAGTTTTTTTTGTTTTCGTTTTTTGACGCCCATCGCCTGTGTAGTTACTAGCAGGGAAAGGATGGTCCTTTCCCTGTCATGCATGCCATACATCATAATACAGTGTATCAATTTGTCCGACACCTATGCATTTCTCATGTTGCCTGTACTCTGATAGCTTGGCACTGCTCTGGTCAGAGTTTAGTGTTGATCAATACAGTATGCAGATCTACCCTCGGTAGTACTAGGATAACCCCGAGAGATTCAAATTGTTTGTCTTATAACAAGTATGATCTACTATCCAGACGTGAGTGTACGCGTTTCAGGCGTCATGGGATCTTGATTTTTGTCTACTAATGAGGGTTGTCTTGTAAGCGAAGTTGTCACAGTACTGACGAGGGTAAACCTGGACCTCATGTATCATTCTCTACCTTGTGATTAATTCTTTAGCCTTTAGCTCAGGCTGCACTGAAGACATTCCTCTCAAGTCCGTCCGGCATGGGCCAGTTCCACGTGCCTTCATCTAATGCCATCACATTGGGTCCTGGCTGTGCAGCGGGATCTCTGTGTCAATGCGGTACCTCTGTAAGTGATCATACTTTGCCGATTCCTTACAATGCCTCAGCTTCTGTCCAGTAGTTTTCAGTTGGGCATGACATCCCCAGCCAATGGAAGGGGTTCCCACAGCCAATGGAAGGGGTTCCCATAGCCAATGGAAGGGCCGGGTTCCCACAGCCAATGGAAGGGGTTCCCACAGCCAATGGAAGGGGTTCCCACAGCCAATGGAAGGGGGTTCCCACAGCCAATGGAAGGGGTTCCCACAGCCAATGGAAGGGGGTTCCCACAGCCAATGGAAGGGGTTCCCACAGCCAATGGAAGGGGGTTCCCACAGCCAATGGAAGGGGGTTCCCACAGCCAATGGAAGGGGTTCCCACAGCCAATGGAAGGGGTTCCCACAGCCAATGGAAGGGGGTTCCAGTTCAACTTGTTCCTGTATTCCGTGACTTACAAACCTACTAACCCTTTTATATTGCGGATTGCTGTTGGGAGAATGTGCAAACCCGCATACCACCATATACACATACACGTGTTTACTATAGTACATGTGTATGCAACTATTGTCATTGGTGGCTGAATGCTATTGTCATTGGTGGCTGAATGCTATTGTCATTGGTGGCTGAATGCTCTAATCTTGTGATACTCAAATGATTTGCCTTTCCGCGTTTCAGTTTTCAAAGAACTCCACTTCAGTGATCATTTTTTTCAGATGCCGTTATTTGGAGCTAGCAATCGTTAAGCCGGCATGTAAGGCAAACATACCTGATCCTGTAGACTGAAGAACTAACTGCCGGGTATACTTCGGTTATCTCCCCTCCCACTGATATTCTTCTTGTTACTTTTCATTACACAGACGCCGGATATTGTGCGTACAGCCTGCTGTTTGTCCAAAACAAGCTGCCCTGACAATTCAGGGTGCAGGGGACCTGTAACGCTGCAAGGAGATTGCTGTGCTGTGTGCGGTAAGGAGTAGAACAAGTGTTTTTTTTTTGCCTCTGGATATAATGCCGTGTCTTTGTTGTCTACCGGGTTGCTTGGCTAGTGATCTAAAAATCAGGGAATGTGTAAAATATATCCAATTCCGTTTCCAGCACAGCTAACTGACAGACATGACTGAAGTCTTTATGCATCTTCACACATTCCGTGTTAGAGCCACCATAGCTGACTCATTGTCCATGCTACGAGTGCACCACACGTGGCACAATGCACTATCGAGTGTTGACATACACATCATCTAATTCTCAGTGTTTTGAGGAGGGATGGGAATTGGGTGTTGTTTTTAAAACTTTCTTTGCAGGTGGAATACTGACTATCACCACCACCTACTTTGATCAATCAAGATTCGTCAATGCAATTACGGCACGAGTCACAGTAGGTTCACAAGTGCACTGTGTAGTGTTTCTGCCATAGAAACATCACTTCAGTGGCATTTAAACATCACTTCAGTGGCATTTAAACATCACAGAACACAGAAACAAGCAGTTTCACATTCTCGCACCTCCAAACGCACAACAGAGATAAACGTAATGCAACCATGCCATACTCAGATACTATTGTCTATACCTGAGAGGATGAGCAGAGAAAGTTTATTGTAGTCATTCCAGTGAATTTAAACTTTACTTGTTGGTTGCAACACCATGTTAATCAATGTTGATTTTGACTGTTATGTATCGGGTAGGATTTATCAGTGATCTTTTTCTCCAATTAGCACGAAGGAGCAGGTTTGAGTTGCAATGTATACAAAGGAACTATTCATAATAGACTCTCTTTCCTGAGTTTATGTACCTTCTTGCCTTTGACTGGAGAAGCAAACGGTCAACCAGCTAGGCAGGTACTGGAGAAGGAAGTACAAGCTAACCACCATATACCTAATACAACAATGTAAGGCAGAGTACGTATCGCTACTACCTCCTGCCTTGGCCTTCAGAGTTGATGATGGGGTGCTTGTTCGAGTGCCAATTTGTGTACTTGTACTTGCCTGCTAGCAATCCACCACTATGGTCTGCTGTTCACAATTTATGGTGATCACTGTTGTGCTTCTCTATTTCTTAGACAATGACGTTCAAGTATCACATCATTGATGCATCCCATATACAAGTACTGGTGGTTGGGAACCAGGGTTTCACCAAGGTGAATCAGCTGAGAACAGCCATTAGCCAAGGTGAGTTGAAGGTGCTGTCATAGGATTTGTAGATAAATTCTGAACGGTCAATCCACACACCATGGCCGACAACACAAATCTGGACATGTACCAAATTCAAATACGTTGCAATTTTCATGTAGCGTAACACAAGCTGTTCTTGATCATCGTCGCTTCCTGATCAACTCAATGGCTCCCAGTGGTTAGGAATTCAACATGCAAGCCAAGTTAAAAACTAACTAGCATTTCCACCGCAAGACAGTACTTCGAAGTATGTTACAGAGACAGAGTCCAACCAGAAAACTAGTTCAAGAACTAATGCATGATATTACTACATGTATGAGTGATGAACAGTTAAAGACTCCTGTTATATAAGTACTTGTACAGCATGAGACTGAGGTAGTAATATTCCTACATGTACCTCTACAACTCCCAATACCAAGAAGTTATAAGTGCATGCTAAAACCTGGCAAACCAGCCAGGATTGATCATGCAGTACGGTTGTAGTAGACCTATTCTGTTTGTTTCATTTCCTCGTGTAATCTTCACAAGATCCTGTAGTAATCTTTTACTTTCTTGGATCAAAGCAACAAGAGCCCTGACTCAAACTCTGGTACGGCAACTAAAACCTCAAAATCCAAAACCTCTCGCGGGAAACGACACATGCCAGTGGCGTGCACCGAGTCTTGAAAGGGGGGTTTCTAGAGTTGGTATTTTTTCTGGAGACCCACTGTATCATTATGTGTTTGTGCACATGCGCATCCCCCGAACATCCCGTCGGAGATAACGGCGAGGGCTAGGGAGGAGGGAGGGAGAGGGGACTCAAGATCAGGGGTGCAGGGCACCAATGAACACTGGTGCTGATGAGATGCGGGGCTCGTCCGACTGCTATCATCAGATCTTGCCGGCACAAACGCGTCAGAGAGGGAACCAGGTACAGGGGTAGAAAGGACAGAAATAAGAGGAATGGAGAGAGGGGACGATGTTGCATGGAAATGTTGGTACACGCGTAACCGGTAACAGGATAAAACGGGTTACCTTTTACATACCAGCACTTCAAAAAGCATTTGCAAAGAGGGTGCAAAAGTCAATGTACTCGTATACAATGACATGTTTGTCATATTGAACACGTAAAAGTTTGATAGGCCTAGCCGCCCAGGCTACACTACAGTCTATAAGACTAGTATAACACTATGTCTATAGTACTTCACTACAATGGAGTCCACTCCAGGCATGTTTGTTTCATCAAAACACTGCTTACATTCGACGGATCTTTCTTTCTGTTCTTATGACGAAGTTTTCAGCATGTATTGGCAATGTTCAACATGATTTCAATAAAGAGTTATGGGCCTTGCTTCGATGGAAGCTCGCGGAAGAAAAGCAGAGTCCCGCGTCATTGAGTCGCGGCCGGAGCAGCGCTTCGTTCTGAAGCAGCGCAAGTGGATCATGGACGCACATGTTTACGTCTTCCAGTCGACAACGTTTTTGACGAACATCTCTGCTGCGCACATAAGCGAGAACGAAAGGCTGTGGAGATCTTGATTTGAGTCAACACTTTGGAAGGAGATGTCGTCAATCATATCCTTGAACTGACTTGCATCGCACGTGCTTGACTCAAATTTCGAGACAGAACGGATTTCTTGAACGTCATCGCCAATCCAGGAGCGAACCAGAGCTAGAGATCGATCTCTCTGTCGCTACTCTCCACTGAAGAAAGAGAGAATAATGTATTTTGAACTACATGCAAAGCAACTCTCTCTCTCACTTCGAAATAAGGACATAGTCACTGTACTGTAAACTGCCCGTCGATCGACGCGTATGCAGGATAATCCAGTAGGCGCGCTTTTCCTTCGGCAAGATTGCCCGAAAAAAGGTGGTTTCCAGACACCAAAAAATCATACGGTGCACGCGCCTGCATGCTAGATGCATAACAGAATACATTACGAATGCGCAATATACTACTATCATGAATGCCTGGGGTGGCAAACGGAAATGCAACAGTGCATAATAATGTAGATGTGCGGGATACCACCACAGCCCCTGTATGAGGCATGATGGTTTGCCTCTACTGCTTCCCCGTCGGCTCTCACTGACAGTTTCCTGGAAGCCTGTGGTGCATGCATCATGTTATAAGTTTCATGAACAACCACTGCCTCGCTGAGATACTGTCGCATTTTCTGCTCCGCTCCACAGGACCGAGTACATTTGGACTTCCTTCAAATCCAACAATGGTAACTAGTGGGTCGATTGTTGATACCAAAACTGTGCCAGTTCCTGGTGCCACTACTGCACGACCTCCTGCTGCCACTACTGCACGAGCTCCTGTCACTCCTGCACCAGGTCCTATCACGACCGTACCAGAAGCACCCACCACACAAGAGGTCGTGCCGAGCAAATGCATTCAAATCGTTCCAGTCACAGAGGACGGGGCTGAAGTTACTGGCACCAACGGTCAAATTCTCACGGAGATACGGACGGTAGTGATTGAACCGAACCGAAACGATGCTCAGGCTGGAGACACAAGTAAGATACACACTCTTTTCTATAGTCACTCTCTTAGTCTATCTCTGCTGAGAACTGCGTCAAGATGCTCCCAGAAGCACAAGTGCATTATCTTACCGAGGCATCCAACAGTCTTGAATCATCATCTTCTAGCTACTATCATTGCGATTCTCAGAACAACCATCACGCGTGATGGTTGCGACGAGAATTGAATTTTGTAAATATTAACGAGCCTCCAATTGAATTTGTTCCTTTCCTGGTCTCATCTTTACCAGAAACGGACAGCACTCCATGGGTCATCGTGGGTGTGTTTGGTGCCCTGCTAGTCATTGCCCTGATTGTCATCATCGTTCTTGTGCTACGTGGCAGAAAACAGTGAGTGGCAAAGAGAAGTTTTCCCGGTTCCTCCCATGTGAATCAGAATGCAATACGAGCTATAATGCCTTGTGTTTTGGTCTGTGTTAAAAGCACCTGAATGCAGCTCCCGGCATCACAAGTTTGAGAGCACTGTTGTTAGCAGTGTTATCAGGCTCTACTCTCCTCATGATAAACTCCAATTTATTTTCCTTCTGCTGATGCTCCACTCCCTAAACGCGATGCTGATGTAAGAGATGCAATTTGCAGCTCTACTATATGCTGTGAATGTTGTAGGGATTATAGATTTGGTCAATGTGCTTACCCCACTGGCTAAGCTGATGTCATACACCATCGGATCTGGAGATTTGATTCATACAAAATGCTCATGATTCCTGTACAGCTTTTCTTTCTGTTTGTCTTTTGCACCCTTCATCTACTTCACAGAAACGCACCTCCACCGGTTCACCATGGTAGTCCAGTGCAGTATGTCCATAATCCGGAAACGGGAGCATCCAAGGCGACGACTGGTGGACGGGTCAAATTGGGGCAGAACTTTGCTCAACCTCCAGAGGAACCGAATGTCTACGAGGTGAGCGTGCATGTGTTGTACTGAATGAAGATTGTTAGCTCAGTTGATATCGGGAAGGCATCTAGCTGCCCTGGACAATATCAAAGCACACCATTGTCAGGAAACTTCACTCACTCAGCGACTACATGAGCCTTATCCTTCATCAACTGGATGGATTTTGGAGCCACCAGGAAATCACACTCAAGTATGTAATAGCCGGCTATTAACAAAATACGTGTTCAGGGTACAGGAGGAATTCTGATATGCGTATCCGTTGTCACGCGGAGTTGCGCTATGGAATATAGACACCAATTTCGGACATGCCCAGTCCGAGGTTTGAATTATCAGACATTGTTATGTCGGAATCTTATTGATTGAAATCGGCCCTGAAAGAAACTTCCAATAAAGCGGTAACGTTAACGTAAGTGTCCTCGCAGTGGTGATGGTTGTGTGCAGGAGGGTTTAGTCGACTGAGAGCGCAATGTAGTGGTGGAGGTGATATCAACAATAAAGCGGCATGTTTGAATTAAACCATATTCGAATTATCAGGGTTCCACCTTAACAAGTATTACCTTCACAGGGGAGGGGAGGGAGTGGGGGCAGGGGTAACTGCTATAGTATCCCGGGACGGATACCCTGATTCCATCAATCCTTTTTCTGCACCTTGTTCTCACCCACTGAGTGAGGTGTGGTGAGACCATAAATGGGATCATTTTCAAGTCCACCCAGAGTTTCGGGATTTCATGGGGTGTCGGCCGTTGGGCGGTTCAACAGCCAATTGAGTCATCTTTCCAGGATTCCTTTTGAGTCTCTCTCCCCTCTCCCAGGGAGGTCCACATGACCAGCTTTGGCTCTCTCCCCTCTCCCGGGGAGGCCCACGTGACCAGCTTTGGCTGTGAGCAGGTTAAGTACAAGTACACGTGTATGTGTGTATTCTTGTGGTGCTTTGTGTGAATGCAGGTCAACAGCGATGTAACCAGTCCAATGTACACCCAGGATACTGCTCCAAGGATGCCGAGCCGGGTACGTATTTGTATCTATATATATTTGTATATACTGGCCTCAAACGAAGGTCCCTGGTTCGAGTCCTGGCGGTGACAGCCAATTTTTTCTTCAGACTTTTCCTGTTTGCATCTTTCCCTCAAACCAATGAATCCTGAGCTGTATTTTTTTGGCATTAATTTTGTGGTTATGGATTCTCCATGGCGTTGTCACTCCAGGGTTGGCACAATTCAGTGATGTGTCGCGGCACTGTTGAGCATCAACAATGTATATCACGGTGGAAACAATAGTTGTGTGTGTGTGTGTGTGTGTGTGTGTGTGTGTGTGTGTGTGTGCCGTGTGTGTGTGTACTGTGTGTGTGTGTGTGTGTGTGTGTGTGTGTGTGTGGTGTGTGTGTGTGTGTGTGCATGTGTGTATGTGTGTTGTGTGTGTGTGTATGTGTATGTGTGTATGTGTGTGTATGGTGTGTGTGTGTGTATGTGTGTTCTTGTTACCTTGTGTGAATGCAGCAGGTCCATAGCGGTGCAACCAATCCAATGTACTCTCACGACACTGCACCGAAACTGCCCCCGAGCCGTGTACGTTACTCCAGGCCGGTTGGCACAATTCAGTGATGTGTCGATGTGTCTATGTGTGCTATTATATTTATTATAACTATAAGCATTTTCGCGTTAGAGTGTAGCAACATGCTGAGTCCACAGCTTCACTGATGCTGAATGGCTAGGGTGAGAGGAGACAAAGCAGCGAGGAAACCAACATCTAGAAGGTCACAATAACATGTAGAGAACCGACCTGCATCCATATCAGAGTGGAAACAACATTTGTGTATGTGTGTGTGTGTGGGGGGGGGGGGGGGGTTGGGGGAGGAGCATGGTGGTCAATTCATCAGCCTTGCAAGCTGCTGAATGGTGTAATCCCAGCAGAAGTTGCTATGTCTAACATAGCTTGTGTGCTATCGATATTGCTTCAGCGATGGGCAGGAGAATGAGTATGAGCGTGGGTGTATTCTTGTTACTTTGTGTGAATGCAGCAGGTCCAGGGCGGTGCAAGCAAACCAATCTATACTCACGATACTGCTCCGAGAGTGCCCAGCCGTAACATACGCCACTCCAGGCCGACTGGCACAATTCAGTGATATGTCGCATCATGCTGCACTGTTGACCATCCATATCAACTGTGAAGTGTTGAAATGGTCAGAGCCAATCATTTTTCTCTGCTCTGATAGCATACTGGATGACTCTCAGTTATCGGTGAATGAGTTTGCTTCATTCTCTTTTTGTACTCTCATCTTTTCAATTTGGTGTACTTTGCTACACATTGTCTTGTCTAGCTCTCGCTCATGATGGATTTGCTTTGACCAAATCTTCTTGGAAGTATGTGTGACCATCTAACCAATCGCAATCCAAAAACCTATTAATAATACAAGTCTACTCTTCAAGAAACCTAGATGTTATGACCGGTGTTATGGGTTATTCTGGGGTCTCGAGGAGAAGAGCGCATACAATTGACACTTCAATGCGATCAGTACATTCTAGAGAAGGTGGCGATTCCACCATCAGTTGAGTTGCCTTGTATGGAGTGTCAAAGCCGCGGCGCAGCAATGCACAACCTCCAGCAAACCGCCAACGCACACCGTTTAATACTAAACGTCCATAAACCAATCCACTGGCTTACCACCGTGACATCATTTGCATGGCCTCTATAAGCTATAGGAAGGTCATCGACACATATCATGGATGAGCCATGGCCATGCACGAAGAAACATTGATGAGTGGTCCAGAAGTCCCAAGACTTAGAGATACATGCACAATGTGATGTAGTGCCAAGTTCCAACATTGGACTGACACCACTCCATGAAAACCGAAATCAATATGAGGAAGATCTACCGGAGTCGTACACTGCATTACTCAGTCTCTGGACATGCAGTTAGCTGAACACTGCATTATGGATGAACACAAGAAACTGGAAGACCTGAGCGTGTGGCTCTTGTCTTACAATGTCGATTCAGCAGGATCAGTACAATCATGCTTCACTTCACCGCAGTCTCAGGGTATACAAATCCATCCAAACACATTGAGGAAGGGGGAGAAAAGAACCAGGGTAGGAACTATAAAAGACTTCTATAATTGTCACTGTCCTGTCTTCCATAACCAGTCCAATGATTCTTTCCCTCCCCTCTCTAACCTTCTAGGTTGCCTCCTATTAGTCGTCTGTCCTGTAATCCGTACTACACGACAGCAAGTACATGTAGTACATGTAGTTCCTACTCGCAGGCTTATTTCGTTCCATACAAGATCCCAGGGACTCATCAGAGGAGAAACAGTTGTTGAATGATAAGGTTGAACTGCACTAGAGAATGCTATCTCATACAGAATGAATTTGGCGCAAGGTGTGGGTCTACACTCAGCCAACTTACATTATGCGGCAGACCAACCCAAAACGGAATACTTGTACAGCCATCATACATGACTCATGTAGTATAGAAAGGAGGTGCTATGAACCCGACGGTTGCACCAGACACAACGTTCTGAAGCGCTAAGGCCCTCTGCCACCCTGGACAGATACCTCTCCCTTTGGCAGCTCACAGTTTGTCACTGTCATTAATTAAAACACCCCAGCAGCCTTCTTTCTACCTAACGTGATTTTAAAAGGTGACTAGCGAGGTTTGTGAAGAACATGTTTGTATTTGTCTTGTGCACTACGGTTAGCAATGTCCACGTGTGACTCTCAGCAACAAGAACTCAGATGGTGGACCAAGGGAAAAATCGCAACATGGAAAAATGTAGGGAGAAGTAAGTTATGCGATTGAGTCCACCAACTAAACCAGATTTTGAACAGCCAGACGTGCACAATCTAGCAAAAAATGTACCAAGAGTACTGAGACATTCCATGGCATGGAAGTCAGCTTGAGTTAACCAACGGCCTTCCAACTTGGAAGCCTTCAAGGTTCATGGATATTAGTACTAATTCCAAAGTCTTTGAAAGAGGGGAAGGTAAGCGCGATCGAGCCGAGCCGCAAGCTACAATCCAAGGCTTCGGGGAATGCTTGGTTAGCGCATGTTTGGTATAAAGTGGATAAAGAAATGGAGCAGAATTCGAGGAAGGGCCCGCATAAAGATTGTAAGGTTCTGCCAATTTCACTGCTTTTCGACCAATTTTACGAGTACTATTATCCGCCAAGGGATAGTCCGCAAGCGTCAAGCGACGTGTCTCGTCTGGTTAAAAGAAGAACACATAATTGCAATTTGCTAGTGTTGATGTCATCGTGATGCCTGATGGCAATGGCTTGCATGAGTCAACCGTGGGGATATTATTATTGTTGCGACATCACGTGAGGTTTGACATTCTGAAGTGACGAGTCTGTAACTTGTAAGGCGCGTCTGGTCGCGCACGTACCCCCAATGCCAACTGTTCGGTGCACGTCTTGCAGCGCTAGAGCTAGAGCAGTAGAGGCGGGGTATCGCTCTAAACGCGTCAAACAATTATGGTGCCGCAGCAATCATACAGTATTATTACACGATCAGTTCTGAGTTCAGCCACCACCCGACTCTTCAAGAGTTCAATGACATGCATAATGATGCTGATACTGATCCAGTGCAGAAGTACGACTCTGGAGATGGCTGTACCAGATACGATGATGCGTGTCTGACTCTGAGCATGCGCCGGCCCTATGCCCGAAATTCCCCCAGTGCCTGTACTAGGCTGTAGCTAGCTCAATCCCCATCACGGGCGTGCACGATTATGTAGATCTACTCAGTAGACGACGAACGGCCAGAAGCGCGGTTCTGCAGGCAGTTCTTGCAGGTCTTTGAGTGTGTAGATCTAGCGTGAGGAGGAAGAAATTATCGTTAGGGAAACTGAGTTTGTTCGAGTATGAAGCTGGGCGTAATTACCGGTAAGTTATCATCCCGCTGAGTATGTTTATGTTCTATGGTGAGAATGGTCCGGGGGCACTGAGACTGAAAGAGTTGAAGTCCTTGATGCAGACATGGATCGAGGTCAGTAAAGGAGTGAGCTGGAGAGGTTTCGAGAAAGACAACCAACGCTCGAGGAATCAAGTACACTAGTAATGCAGCGGAAGAGGTGTGGTACTAGCTGCACACAAACTCCAGCTAGGACGAACTGAGGGGAATTTGTAAAGTGAAGGCAGCAAAATGCTTCCTCTGAAATTCCGGCGTAGGACACCATTTGAATTTCGAAGTGTTCAAAAGATTGCTGTCCGCATATCCAGTTTTGCATTCTACCCTCGAGACCTCACGAGCCAAGAAACCACAGAACCGGATCAGACATGAAATACTTTCCTCCTGTTCTTCATCTGTTCTGCAGTACTGGTTGGTCTGCTGGCCGCCAGCGCTAATGGTGCTATCAAGCGTTGGAAGGGGCCAGACAACAACTATGACGACACAGGCAATTGGGACGGTGGCTCACTACCCTGCTCTGCCGACAATGTCACGTTTGCACCAGTCTGGGTAAGGGATGCCAATGCGCTGTCAGTGTAACTAAGATATGAATTTTGAGTCGGCGACACCAACATATTGACATTAAAGAATCGGGGCAACTGAGTTCAATAGAGTCTGGCCTCGAAACAAACTTCGACAATATAGCTTTCATCCACCAGCAGGTTCCTGGACAGTGATTATCGCCAGTGTGAGGTTATGCTTGGCAAATACTGTCATAGAGGTCCGACTTCATTCTACAAGGTCTACAAGTGGAGCAGTCACAATACTTGTGATTCTTCTTTTGCTGGCATTGATGAATAATTCGATGAAAACCCATGATAACCAAAAACATCGCAAGTGTTTTAGGCCAACAGTCTGCGCTTGCTTAGAGGTCCTACTGATACTGCAGTCGGATTCATTGATTGTGCTCTGTTGTGCAATGAGTACCCGGTTATGCATGAAGATGGTCCAGGGCCATAGCACTGGGATTTCAGGAGGTACGGCTAAATGGGGTACAAACCCAGAAGTGGGCATTATTTAATTAAACCCATTTTTCACGGCCTGGGTGGGTCTACCATTTTTTCGGAAAAAAAGGTCCGGCCATAGCCAGACCGACCGGACTGTGTGGTAGGGTCCTGTAGTTGTGGGCAGCAAACCTAACTTCTGGTTCAGTCGGTTGACATTGAGTTGTTCCTGCGTGTTTTATATGTGTGTGTGTGTGTGTGTGTGTGTGTGTGTGTGTGTGTGTGTGTGTGTGTGTGTGTGTGTGTGTGTGTGTGTAACTGTTATGCATGTGTGCGTGTGTGTATGTGTGTGTGTGTGTGTGTGTGTGTGTGTGTGTGTGTGTATGTGTGTGTACATGCGTACTCTTATGCGTGCACGTGCTTGTGTTTGTTTGTTTATAATTGATGCGTGGTCGTCGTTGTCTCAGTCACCCAGCACTGTGTTCATCCAGAACAGCATTGCCATCAACAGCCTGGTAAGGACAGCAGCATCACACTGTGCCGCAGACTACTGAGTGCAGACTACTGAGTTTTGTAGTCTGATAGTCCTGCCCTGGTGCTCCGCTATCTCTGCTAACTTATAGCCGGGGGATTGTTATAATTTGTGTGTATGCTTACCAATTTGTCATTTTGCATTGTCTTTGCTTACTGCCATGGCTGCTTATGCCCCCCCCCCTCCATACTGGCCTATATTCCCCGGGCACGGGAATAAAATAAATAAAAGATATGTTGCATTGCCCCCCCCCAGTGCTAGTAGCACCTTTAAAATGTTACAGTCTGCATGCTTTTTCCAACCATACACACACGACTAGTGTGTTGTCATGTCATGAAACTGCCAGCACCAGGACCCAAGAGAGGCATCACTGTGTGGTTAAAACTGCCAGCACCAGGACCCAAGAGAGGCAAGAGAGGCATCACTGTGTGGTGAAAACTGTTATCCCGCATGACTAACGTTACAAGTTGTCTTTCTGACACTTCCCTCTTGATCCGATTTCAATAGATCTTGCCAATGGACGGCGGCATGCTGGTGTTTGTCAAGTCACTCAACATCACCCTCGGTGGAAAGCCAACTTCGAAGTGCAGTGGTTAGTGGTAATAATGTCCACTGCTCCGCTATGAAGAAAGAAGGATGTATTCAGGCTGTACCACGTATTCAAACTACAAGTTGTAGGGCTAGTAAAGCCTGTCTAAGACGACCGCTCAAATGACCTTCAAACGGTGGTCCCCGTGTACACATGTGATCTCCTCAGCCAGGGTCCTTTGACAGAAAATAACTAGGACCAGGCCTTGGCCTTAGGTATAGTGGTCGCACGTTACAAGTTATTGCCTTATCAGAGTGGTCCACTTGACGAGGTTTTTACTGAATGTGTACTGATATTTAAATCTCACATTGCACCCCCCCCCCCCTTTTTACTACACATTTCTAGTGTGTTTATGCCATAGCATCCTTGCACGCCTTACTTGTGTGTTTCATGCAGCATAATCAGATCTATTCATGTTGAACTATGTCCACAGGAAGCAATACGGTTTTCAAGGGCAAGGCACCAGGCAACTGGGATGACCCGACCAATTGGGACACGCTCGATAGCAATACAAACGCTGTCTTGCCAACGAACACGATTCCGCCATCCGACCGGCTGCCATGTACGACCGACACCGTGCGATTTCCAGCTGTAAGGTCATAATGATACTTGTATGCCACTGCTGTGCTACTGTGTATTGCAATTGACAATGCTTGATTTCATTGTACTGAGCTGTAATACAAGCATGCAGGCAACAAGCAGGAAGGAACTGATGCCACACAGATACGCAATACACATACAAGTTCACACAAGACTATTTTTATGATTTTCCATAGGACCTTTTCACAACTTTGGTTCTTACCTGTAGTGACCAAAGTTTCATCACTAGGATCTGGTGATCAATTCGGGCTGGCGGTGCACGATATAAGATTGCATCACGGGTCGAAATTATCTGAATCATGCCGACCACTTAGCTATCAACTGTACCCACTGCATCTAACACCCCCCCCCCCTCCTACACCATTAAATAACAGAGTTTGAGTTTGAGCGTCAACCTTCACTGCCGGATCATGTACAGTCAACTTTGCGTATAACGACACTCGGCGGGGCGTGAGAAAAGTGTCCTTATTCGAGAAGTGTTGTTATACCCGAAGTCTCATTATGTATTACAGTTAGATGGGACTTTGCTCTGGGAATGGAAATTCTGTCGTTATTCGCGAATTGTCATTATATCCGCAGTCGCTAATAGCGAAGTTGACTGTACTGTGCGTGGGGATTCGCTTCATCCTGCATTAAGTTAATGATAATGCGTGTCAACATTCATTGCCATGCCGTGTGTATATGCGAGGGCAAAGGCGGCATTTCCCTCATGGCTATGGAGATTAAGTTAAGCCAGGAACTGCTTTGTTTCCCATCCGTACCTTTGTCATGCAGAGCCGCTCAGTGACTGTACGTTTGAACCGTCCAATCACAGTCAGCCAGTTCATTATCAATAATCAGGTGAGTTCTATGACCAGGGTCTGAAAACACCAAGTACTTAAAATACAAGTGGTATAGTAGTTATGCTAGGGACGAAATAAACCTCAAACTAATGCTGTGCAGACCAGACCATCTCAAGATTGATGAAAAACATCCGGACATGTTCTTCGTCAGGATGTGGTGTATATTCCGGTGCCACCCCATGTCACTTTGACTTCAACGCTGATGACGTGCTTTGACTCCTGGACATGCAGGGCCACGGAAGCAAATTTCTCTGCATGACTTTGATGAGTTCATTATGTGTATACTACTCCCTGCCCATAACCTGACCCTGTTTAGCCCGTTGGCCAGACCACGCTGAAGGCATTCCTCACGAGCCCGACTGGAAGGGGCCAGTTCCGCCTGCCTTCGCCCGATGCCATCACACTGGGTTCCGGCTGTGTTCCTGGATCGCTGTGCACATGTGGCACCACTGTGAGTTCTCTTTCTTAGATCATAGGCTGTTCTAACAGCCGGCTTACATGATTGCCAGAAGTTATTATCAGTCTCCTCGATAGACTGTCGGACAAAATACCTTGGCAAAAATTGGCCGACTTCTACATTTTATCTGGAGAAGTAAATCTGTTTAGCACTGTCCAATTCTGACCCTAATGACTTCATCTTGATTTGACAAAAGCACAGTTTCAATTTCGTCAACTTACCGGTATATGAAAAGGTGAGAAAATGAAAAAGCTGCAGATTGCTCCCACAAAGTGCATTTGTTGTGCTCTAGCTTCCGAACTCCATGGTTGCACTGTCGCTCTTTTAACTTCTCCAGAACCCAGACATCATTCGCACCGCATGCAGCTTTGCCAAACCTAGCTGCCCGGCCGTGACGGGATGTATTGGACCGGTCATGATGGATGGAGATTGCTGCGCAGTGTGTGGTGAGGAATGACAGCACCCGCTATTGGTGTGTGTCGTCGGATATTATGTGTCTTAATAATCGCCCTTCAGGGTTTTGGTCTTCTGGGATTTTCCTCATTCCCTCTCTTTATCTTGGGATAGGAATAAATGTTCGATAAGTGATTTCAAGGTATCTTCCCATCCGAGTATAGTCTGTTTCAATGCATAAATCCACTCACTGTACACAGTGGAGTACTGGCAGCCGCTGTGTTCATAACTTAACTCCGAGGTTCATGATTGAACGATCAGCATTCGTCTGACGGCGGTCGTTCTACACATCGAGTGCTGCAAGGCTGGTGTACATACACGCCTGGAATGATCGGTTTCATGAGTGGTCTATTCAATTTGTTTTGTTCTTGGCAGGTGCTCTACTCAACATCACCTCCGTGTCTTTGGTGCAATCAGCATTGATAACTGAGCTATCAGCAAGAGTTCAGGTGAGTCCTACACTGTTTAATCATGGTTTAGGAGCCTGACACTGCCTGACACTGGCCGGCATTGAGGGACTTGCTTAGATGTGATATGTCAACTGTCTGTCTTTTCAACGGTACCATAGCAGCGCAGAGCACAAAAAATACAGCTTCATCTTGAACATTGTAAGAGCTAATGGTGCAGACACTGGTATATTTTCTGTGTCATTCTCACACACCACAATGCATTACACAACATATGCTGTAGTGGTACCTTTAGCTCTCTCGTTCCAGCAGATAGTATCTGTAATATTCTATCCAAACAATGTGGCTATATGTGGTGATGCGTAACTACCATTGTCTTTTCCCAGGCTGTCATTCATAGGTCATCATTGGCTGGAACTGCAGCAGCTTGTTTTAACTGTCTAGACTTCTTTCTCGTGTATACATCTGTCTTTCAGTTTCTCAGTCAGTTCTAGCCCTGAGACTAATCAGGCTCAGTGCAGAGACGAGAATACTAACCTGAGCGGTGCACTCAGTGACTCTTGCCGAGAGTCTGAATCGGTAAGCATGAGTGCAAGGCTAAGAATGAACTGTATGCCATCTTCTACTTTCTTCAGGGCATGCCGTTCAAGTACCATGTTGTGGATGGCTCTCATGTACAAGTACTGCTGGTTGGTAATATGGCCTTGGCAACGGCACGTGAATTGGAAGCTGGTATAAACAGAGGTGAGCTGAGGGCCACACTCACGGTCATTGTTTACCGAATCAACTTTACGTACATGTTTTATGGACCTAGGACTTTCTACAAGATTTTCCAGAACCATTTTTTCTATGCGTTGCATGGAGTCAATACGCCCATTCACTACGGACAGTTTTTGGAGAGAAGGTGAATTATATTTGCACTGCTGCAATACTAGAATATGTAATCTTTGGTTGTGTTTTCTGATGAGTATGCCTTTTCCCTTACGGGCTTGGGAATGTAACTTAACACTTTAACAGGCCAAGGAACAAAATGGGTCATACGAGAATCTACGGTGTGTAGGCCAGCCAGTGAGAGGATGTACATTGTATGAAGGAAATGTTCGGGAGATGATTACCAAACGCTAGTTACTGAAAGAGACTAGAAAAAGCATCTTGTGTCTTATGCTTCCTGCAGCACCGACTGCATTTGGACTTTCTTCCGGTGCACAAGTTGTAGTATCTGGATCGGTCGTTCCCACTACCCAGCCACCGACCACCCCAGAACAGTTAACTGTAAAGGCCGACCCTGGAAAATGTGTTCAAGTTGTCCAAGTAACAGGAGAAGGTGGTGCAGCGGTAACTGATGATAAGGGTGGTGTTGTCACAGAGATTGTGACAGCAGAATTTCCAGACAGCAACAACATCGGCGTAAACAGCGGTCAGACAGGGAACACAAGTAAGACAAACACGATGCCCTTTTTATACGTTGTTACAGATAGGTTTTTGGAACCTTGTGAAATTTGGATGATGATAACTGTTACTATTGCCCCTGTTCTGTCCTATTGCCATTGACGTGCTTCTTCACGCGGCCATTGCTATACTGTGCAGCGCGAAGTTGTAGCCTCACTTGTTACAGTTCATTGGAAGAATATTATCTACTTGTCATAGTCCCACCGCACTCCTCTCACCTCAGTTCCAGGAACGCGTTCCACGCCTCTGTGTGTTTGCGGTTTGCCTTCTCGCTTGCTTGCGCGCGCGCGCTCACGCGTGTGCGTGTGCCTATGCGTGTGTGTCTGTGTGTTTGTGTTTGTAAGTGTGTGTATGTGCGTGTGTGCGTGTCTATGCGTGTGTGTTTGTGAATGAGTGAGTGCCTGAGTGTAGGATAGATCACTCAATGATAGTGCACTTTGTCACATACGACGTAGTTCAGTGTATCTGGTGTTGTATTATGTACTTGAAAGTAGGTCCACCTCACTAGCTTCCCAGCTCAATCGAGATGATGTCTGAGAGATGATGGCTCCAGGCCAAACGAATGAGATCATGCAGCAAAAAGCTTGCGCTGGTGATGGTGTCTGGTTTTAAACATTATGATATGTTTTGTCGATGTTAACATCCTGGCTGAGTAACATCCGGTCTAGCATTCCTCGCAATGACTAGGTGTGAAGAGGTGTTTCAATTCTCCTAGAGCGCCTGTGATAATCTCAGGAATGCATAGAGCTGAATTATCTGTAGATAAGTACCCAATTCTGTAGACAGCAAGCTGTTTCGGCCATAAATGCCTCATCAGTACAGCTACGAGCTACCAGCCATGGTGCAAAGGAGTCTCCACCGACATAAAAGATAGCTCGTCGCTCTAGCGCCAGAGTGCTCTAACTATATATGTATACGAAAAGTAGCGGGCAATGCGTAATGCAGCAGCACTGGAGCAGCCTACCGAGAGTGCTGAACAAGACTAATGCCGAGGAGCGTAATACCCAATCCTGTAGATACGTATGTGTTCTGGCTCGTTCAGACAGGCGGAATGATGAGACAATGCACGTGTGTCATGCTCAGGTGAAGTTTTCACTCCTGACTCGACATCCTGTGTTATGTCTTTGTTTCCAGAAACAGACCTGACACCATGGTATGTGGTGGGTGGTATTGGTGCTCTACTGGTTATTTCCTTGATCATCGTCATCATTGTGCTGGGTCGCAGAAGAAGGTGAGTAGCAAGGGTATTGTTTTCTACACGAGTGCCTATCCTCTGAAACCAAAATGTGAAGTGCTGCTTTGCTTGTGCTCCTGTATTAACACATGTACAAAAACAAGTACATTTCAAATTTCTGGCAGAGTTGTTATACATCGTTAGACTTCTACCCATGGCCCAGATTCCAATGAACATCTGTGACCCATCTGAGTAGCCTATAGCAATGTGTTAGCTGCGACCAGCATTCAGGGGTTTTATATGATTGGATTATAGAAGTATTCGACAAGAGTATAGACAGAAGGAGAACAGGACAACGACAACTCAAGACTAGACTAGAACAGAGCAGAACAGAACTGGAGACCCACTGGAGCATGCGCTCTTCTATATGTGAGTCTCATTGCCAAGGGGAACGAGCGGGAAATACGAATAGTGAGTATGTACAGGTCGTAGCATTAATACACCTATTACAAATGCATGCTGTGGATGAAACTGGGGCGGAACGGAAAGGATTATAAGGATGAAAGGTGAAGCAAAAAAAGGATAGCTGCTGGAGAAATGAATGGCACGAAAGGATCGCAGCACCCAGTACGGCCGGTCTGACCATGGCCGGACCTGATATGAAAAAAGGTTGAACCACCCAATCCGTGAACAATGGGGTTAACGTCGACAATGTTTGTTTCTAGTCCAGCACCCCATTCGACCGGACCACCTGAAATCCCAGTGCTACTGTTCTTCACAGTGACCAAGCAGCTTGTAATAAGGAAATTAAGAAAAATGGAGTAGACCTTTCTGCTGCCCCTTGTTGCTGTATAAAACTGCTCACAATGGGCGATATTCATAAGACTTAGTTTGAGGGGGTTGAAGGGGGGAAATGTCTGAAGAAACAAAATTACTGTGTCCACTAGCACTCAACCAAATGGGTGATGTGTTTGCAATTTTTCCCATGTCAGTATTATGGTACTAGCACTGTAGTCAGTTAAATGCTACATACTGCAAATACACAACATTTTTGGTGCAAAACTTGACATTTCTTCATCGTTTTATTCCGCCACGGTGTTAATACCAGTACATCGCTAAAGCCGATGCGAAAATTTTCATCCGCGTTTTAGTTTCGGCGTTTTGGGTCAGTGCCGAGCATAGCCGAAATTAAATATCTGTCAAAATGTTGTACTCTCAGCTTAGGTTTACCATGGTAACGGTGTGTAAAGTAGAATGTAAACATGGTGTGGCCTACCCGGAGCTGTGCACGTGGCCAATCAAGCTCAAACCGATGTGCACTGGCAGTGCGGAAAGCGATGCATCATCTAAACAGTGCTCGATACAATTGAAATCAGTGCTCAGTGCTCAACGCGCACATCAAAACCAGATTTCATATGCCACACCTGTAGCTATGCTTTGAGACATAGAGCTCTGCTGATTACGCTAAGTCCCAATATGCTACCCTATGTCATTGTGAAAACTCGGATGTTGAGCCAATAGTAATATGTAAAGAGAAAAGGACGGATGACTGACTGTATATTATCTCTTTACCTTGGTGGACTGTTAGCCATAACTAGTAACTTATACATGTAGGTCCTTTTCTCAATGCCATTGTGTTTGTTTGTTTTCACCCCGGCACAGCGGCAAAGTTCCACCCAATCTGGGCCAACCAGTACACTATGTTCACCATAGCAGCCAACGAGCGACAGCCGGTGCAGTCAATCTGCAGGAGTTTTCCGATGATCAACCAAGCATCTATGAAGATCTCCAGGTCAGTAGGAGCCTAGTGCCATTGGTTGATCACACACCGTGAGCTTGAATCTGCCAGGACACACAGACCAGGCCACAGTCCCTTTCACCCACATACTACTACTACTATGACAACTACGGCAAAGCCAGGAAAACCTGATCAAAACAAAATTTCTTCTAGTGTTCTAAATTCAAAATGTCTATGGATTTGCATTTCCTGATGTTCTTCAGATCTAATCAGATCAGCATGCAAAGTGGTAAAAATGGATGTAACGGAGAAGTGGCAGGCTGCATCATGGCTGTCGTTGTCGTTGATGTTCTCTCCTCTCCCCTCCCCCCCCCCCCTCCTCTCTCCCTGTCACTGTGCTCTGAAATAGTATGGTTTGTCAAGCTTATTATCATCTCCCGGGCCGAACTGATTAATTCTAAACCCAACACCCACTACTGGCATAGGTTTCCTGTATTTAAAAGCACTGCAAGTACAGTGCAACGAGACATGCCACTGAATTACTTGACTAACCCGTGTGTGTGTGTGTGTTTGTTTGTTTGTTTGCTCCTCTCGTGTCTGCAGGGCTACGGGCATGGAAGTGCCGGCGTTTCCAACCCGATGTATATTGCGGATGATGACCCAATATTGTCAAACGACAAGTCTGGCATCATTCAGTAGTAATTGCACTGCACCTTGCTGCAGTGTTCAACGCATCGCACAGCTGCTGAGCACACCGATTCACTCTATGTTAGCGTCACTGCCACACCATGTCGCTTGCTTCTCGGTGATCAGTCAATGAATTTGACTCACTTTTCTTTTGTACTTGACGGTACACCTTCCTCTCAATAGTCTACCGTAGCAAGCTTCTTTTCAAGCTGCTTTGCAAGCTGCTTTTTGACAATATGAAAAAATTAACATTCTATTTCAACACCATACATTGCAGGCTTCACAGTAGGGGATTGAGAAATGCCAGGCGGGGTAGAACATTTCCAAATGTTCTACAACACCGGCGCTGAAGATTGGTGTGCCAGAGAATGGCGCACCGAAGAATAGGTATGCTAGGGTCTCAGCAAGTACGGTAAACTGGCAGTGTGGACGTGCTGGCTCAACTACGCACGTAGACGTTCGTACATGTACATGTAACCATGGCAACCATCCAGGCTATGAATCTGATCACCATGCCAGCGGCCTTGGCCCTCCTTTTTCTTCAACGCCCGACACTCTACAGTATTGTGCTAAAATTCACTTGCCGTGACTTGGTTCTTGTACCGTGCTATACCCTGTATACCCTGCACTGTCCTGGCCATTGAAATGCGGAATCAGCCTCATGCAGAGCGCAGCATCATGTGTTTTCATGCGGTCACGGCGTACGAATGGGTTTACCGGGTGTTAGCGGCCATCGTGAGTTCTCTTCGGGAACGGGCACGGTGATTTACTTTTTCACGGCGTTTGAAAGCTAGCGGTTGTAAAGCTGACGGCTACTCAGTACAAGCCTTGAAACCGAATTTGAAATTTGTATTTGATTGGCCACTGTGCACGTGTTCTTCAGTAGTTAGTGATGCGTGCACCATATCCTATGCCCTACGACCTTCTAGCAAGATGATATGAGCTCCTGGGAGCTTGTAGTTGTACTGTAACTCTTGCTGGTAGTAGTAGTAGTAGTCCAGTTGAACACAAAGTCCACAGCATATGGACCAAGAGTACATCATCGGACATGTGCATTATCATTGAATGTATGCATTTGTGATCCATTCCTCTATTGTACTAGTTTAGTTGCCTGGGGCGCGGCCTTCACTGCATCATGGATGCAGCTTAAAATCAAACATCACAGCATTTTCACTTCAACGGTTTGAAACTACAGCCTTACCGAGAGGTAACGTTTCTGGCGGAGGTGAACTGCATGTACTTGAGTATTAGCAACCACAAGTTAGAGATCCCACCAGCAAAAAGAACGGGTTTAGTTAGCTACTATGACTGGGTGAGTATGAGAGATTATGGGCGTTGCAGGTAACCATGGTAACCTGCAGACTATCATACAAGCTAGCACTTGGCGGATAATGTCGGCAGAAAATGGGCAGAATTTTGTACTTTTCCTGGTACTGGTATGTTTCATGTACCGGTATGTTTGGTATGTAGATAAAGAAATGGAGCAGGATCACTGACGAAGTGCCGGCCATATGGTGGGTATTCTCCTGCCAATTTCACTGCTTTTCCAGCAGAATCTGCACCTTTTTGGAGCATTATGCGCCAAGGGCGAATACAAGCGCCAGTAGTACTTCAGAGCAGAGCATGTTATCACTAGCCCTTGGCGGATTATGCCGGCATAGTATTTGGCATAATCTTGGGATTTCGTCAAAAAATTATGCTCCGGCATTATACGGATTCCAATGTGTAAGGTCAGCATAATCTTTCGGTTTAGACAAAAATTATGTTTAGGGGCATAATACAGCTTTGTCAGCTCAGAAAGCCTGCAGATGTTTTTTTTAAATACCCCAGTTACGACTCCTTGTCATAGCCCTTGGCGGATTATGCCGGCATAATATTTATATTGGGATTTCGTCCAAAAAATTATGCCCCGGCATAATATGTCTCATCCACCCTTCCAGGAAACTCCCCAGTATCCATTTACTTTTGGAGAATCCTTCAAATAAAGTCTAAATGAAAATGAAATATACGGATTCCAACGTGTAAGGTCGGCATAATCTTTCGGTTTAGACAAAAATTATGCTTAGGGCATGGCCGTGTGTGTATGCGTGGTTCCTCAATCCTCTATGTACAGCGTGAATACATAGTGGAACCGAGCATAATTCAGCATAATTCAGCATACATGTACTTGTTGGCATAATTGTGGCATAATCAAAAGCATAATTTGACGATTGGCCGAGCATAGTCCGCCAATGGCTAGTTATCACTACCTGCATTTTCTTGTCTTGCATGTCAACCACAAGCATCCGCATTTGTCGCTGTGTCAGGTTTAGCTTGTGCTCATCTCAGTCTGTGTGTCTACCCTCTTTTGCAATTCCCCTTAGACTTGCAACATTCTGGGTAGCAGGGCTGTCGGTTTGGGGCTTTTCAGATTGTGTTCTAGCTACCGGTATCTACACTATAGGTGTAAGGTTGCTGAATGTCTCAGTACTATTTTGTCGGTTTAAAGTATGCCTACATGTATCTGTCGTTGGATGGGGTATCTGCTACCCAGTGTACATGTACGAGTATGTCTGTCTGTGGACAAGCTATGTGTACATTGTGCTATGACGATTGGCTATGTTCTCATCTGCCCATCGGGTATACCCCATTGCCCGCCATAACGGAACATGAAACATTCATTATTCTGGCGGAGACTACGAGTCGTATCAACGCAGACCTTCCGACCTTGGAACTGTCATTTGAAGGTGAGGCTTCCCCTTGCCGTACCGGCATACCAATCAGATGGCATCTCTGCTCGCCCAGGTAGTCCCCATGCACAAGCGGTCTTCCAGATCTTTGCCGTCTGTCTACCAATCACTCCTAACTATCAAGTCGAAAGTCATGGAGGGAATTGTCAACAAACAACTGGTCGAATGCCTGGAGAAGCATGAGGTGCTGGCAAACAGCCTGGCTGCCAGTTCGGATTCCAACGTCGTAAAGTAACCGCGGACATCCTCACTGTTCTCCAACGTGGGTCTACACCATCCATACTGGCGACGCTTTGCAGTCTTGCAGACGATTGGACAGAGTCGGACACCAATAATTATATTATGCTAAAGCCTGATCTCCCTGTTGCCTCTTCTACCTAAATTGTTTTTCATTGGTGTCAACTGGGTACTCACTACTCGGAGTGAGGGTAACATGGATGCAGCTAACGTCGGGGTTCGCCCCCTGGTCGGGCATTTGTTGTGAGAGTTACCCCCTCACCCTCGCCGTTAGGCGCTGCATCTGCCACCCTGGTATCACAGACATGGCGGTGGCCTGGCACAAGCGAAACTTCCTAAGCTGGATGTGTATAGCCGGTTTTAACGCGGACGTGCGACTAATTACTTCACTCTTTATTGTGTATGTAGACTAGTATGTAATAGTCATCTGCACGACTGTACACTCATGTACTCACTGTGTTCTGTTCGGTGCCTAAGTCCTTATCATGCTCTCGTCGTTAGGAACTCAAGCACATTTTGAGTTGGGCAATGAACTGTTACTCGTCCAAGTATTAGTTAGTTCTGCTCCGCCCAGCACTAGTCTAGAGCTCTGCATCTGGACAAGATTGACGGGTCTACACGGCAATCATGGTAATCGGGTATGCATCATCTCAGTTTGGGATCCTCCTAGCTGATCCTGCCGTCCTGGTCGGGAGGGCTTGGCAATGCGATCATGCACAGAGTAGATCTACCAGGATATGCCCGGATTACTGAGTCAGTGTGACCACTGTGGCCGAGGCACTGAGTGGTCACAGGTGACGGCTCGAGTACCATTACAATGTCATAGTCATTGAAGGAAGCAAAATAAAAGTGCTTGTCAGACACGAGTGCTGGCTGACACACTCATCCTCAGATACAGAGTGGTTTCTCACTGACAGTCAGTGACAGCTAGCGCTTTACAGTCCCCAGTTCCGTCCTGACTCCTGGGCTACCCGGATATACGGGGGACGGACAGAGTAGATATCCGCATAACAGTTCGACCCGTGCGTGCCGTACTGCATCTGCCGGCCCTGGATGTAGTAAAATGTTTGTCTACACTACAAACTTACTAATACTACTAGTTTTACTTGTGTTGTGCGTTCTGTGTCCAGAACAGTACAGTCCATCCAATGCCCAATGGGCCACTAACCCACCGCCACCGAGGTTTCCTCAAGCGAATACTAGGACCGTAGAACCATAGCAGGTCAGAGACTAGACAACGTTGAGCCTATTTTCAGTTTGTTCTTGGCATTCGCCGGTAGCAACAGCGTAGATCTACAGGTGGACTTCGCTCAAGGAAACTTAGACATGACCACGCCGACAAAGAAAACGATGGCCGCGTTGCTCGACCCCTCAACGGATGAGGTCGACCTTGACGCCATCCAGCCGGACTTGCGGGAGGCGCTAGCAGTGCGGGGAAATGATCGATGTGCCGACTGCCGAGCTGAACGTAGGTACATTTAGAGTCTACGTTTATCCAAACAGTCTCTTATCTTGTTGAAGACCCCACGTGTTCTACAGCTCAACGAGAGCGAACAAAATATAGATTGCTCAGCAGTCTGAGCACCCCACATCGAATGCTAATAGGCTAATACTGCAATACACGAATATGAGGCAAGATCAAACAAAAGTAGAAGGGAGCAACATACGATCATTGTACTGCGCACCTATTTGCATTCGATGTATTCGAGATCTATCTGATGATCTGATGACCCGTGATGATCCGATGTCGACCGTTCTATCCGGAAACGCAGAGTTACAAATAGAACTGCCCACCCTCTACTGTGTATTTGAGATCTACATGCATACGACTGCGCTTCATACAGCGCATGGTTTGTAAGAAGACCCCATTTTGATAATTGCCACACGAACAACAAAACCGAACAAAGTTCCAAGCCTGGTTGAACTTGAACCAAGCTGAAAGTCCTCGTATAGACCCAGCTTCAGTTAGACTGACTTCTCTGCATTCGCAGGAACGCCACCACCGTCAAGGATGAAGGTCCGCTTGACACGTGGAAAAAGTTATAACCTATCCTAGAATAAAGATACACTATCCTCAGTGGCCGTTAAACTTAAATTAATGGAGCATGCCAAAAACGTTGCTTATCATAATGATTTCTGAAGGATGTAAATCGGGAAAATCTGATGAAAAGTTGAAAATCACCATGCACAAGGACTTGAACCAGGGGCCTTCGCGGTGCTCTACTACCCAGTCAGGAGTATAGTCAAACTCACACTAATTCATAAGTAAAGAGAAAGGACCAATAAGTTACGAGTTATGACTGACGAGGCAGGCACAGTGGGTTGGTCAAAGACCATGATTAAGATACGAGAGATACCGGGTTCAAGTCCTGCCTGGGAGCGGTTTTTCCAGCCGTGCTGCTACCCACAGTCAACTGGGAACTTGTGGTCAGGCACAAGGGGTGCATGGATGCAGCCAATGGGGTTTCTTGTCACTTCCGCCAGTGGTTGTGAGACTTATCCACTCCCCGCTGCATCTGCCGCTAGGGATTACCGGGTGTTAGCGGCCGTCGTGAATTCCCTTTGGGAACGAACACGATAATGTACTTCCTTTTACTTTATGACTAACAGTCCACCAAGGTAACGAGTTTAAATAAGCACACTCTCTTTTTCTTTCCCTACTAGTTGCTGTTACACTCACTGATCCTTATGCACAGATATACAGCATTCCCTCACTAGTGGGACCATTGTTATTAGGCTAGGGCCTGTTTTGGACTTCCCACTCTAAATAAAGAATACAAACAAACAAACAACACCAATTAATCCCGACAAATGATTTATCAGATAATCCAGCCCAGGGGACAGTGCTACCTGTATGACAGATGACAGCCACTCCAAGTCCGGGTCATCTGGTTACTGTCATTTCCACACCTACTAATTCTAGGTTAGTACATGGCTGGGAGGGGCTTACAGCTTGCTAGTGCCGGGCAGTTTAACCTGAGGGCTAACATGGAGGGTGCTAACCGTGACGCTGTTAAGCCCGAACTGTCATGTATTAAACAAATTTAGAACGAGATAATTGTTCCCCTGGCATAGAAGCTGACTAAGCAGACATTTTCAACCAGGGTTAGGAAGATCTTTATCAATTTGAGTAGGATTGTAACAACGTGTACATTTTACTTGTTTCCTTGTATTTTGGGTAGTTTCCTGGTTTGTTTGCCGAGAGAAATGAAACAAATTACATGTTGCGGCTCTGGGTGTGAATGTCATACTTATCAATACTGTTCATGATCTGCAACCAGTTAAACGTACCTGCTACGAGTGCTACAGTAGTACTTCAGTACATTCAGTGGGCCTTAGCCAAACCCAAGGCCCTGGCACCAGCATCTTTTGTCAATTTTAATTATTGTTCTGAATGAACTACATGCTGTAGGTCCGCATTGGGTGGAGGTAACGCGTGGCATAACGTTGTGCAGACCGTGTGCAACTGAACATCACTTGCTGGGCAGTGATTTGTCGCGGATCAGGTGTATCAAGGCCGGTGAATCCATCGACAGCAGTGTGATCAAGGCAAGTGACGTATACATGTGTATGTAGCCATCATGGGCCAGTAATGACAGTGGCTGGCATTCCGATCAAGGGCACACAACACAGGAGACCACTGGTCGTGATGTATGATAGGAAACCTTTTATTTTTATTCTTTTAAGTTTATGCATGTTATGCATGTCTGCATGCGTATGCTTTGCATGTTATAGATGTCATGTATGTTGCATGTTTCATGTTGCTGGTTGCATGTAGATTACGACGAAGTCATGTGGGCAAGAATAATCACTACAATTCATTTTTGTCACATAATGGCGCCTCCGAGTTTTGTAGGAAGGGAGGAATGACAAAACACTATAGGATATGTGTCAATGTAGTGTGATCAACACAGCAGAAAACGCCTCCAATATAATTATGAAGTCACAGTACTGTCTACTCATTTTCTAGTATACATGTACTTAAAAAGCCAATCACATGAAACCATGAAGTAAGAACCGAAACGAAAATGACAACCCAAATTCAGCAATAAATAGAACCGACTCGATTAAAGTGTAAGATTGAACACAAAAGCTTGACAAGAAACCGTTATCTAACACCGTATCCAGCGCTGTATGCCATGTCCCAACAATGCATATGCGCATTATCACCCTTGCTAGAGCTATTATATGTGGATGCGGCTAATTGGGTTTCTCGGCACTTGTGCCAGTAGTTGTGCGACGTATCCACTCACCCCCACCGTTAGGCGCTGCATTTGCCGCTAGGGTTTACCGGGTGTTAGCGGCCGTCGTGAGTTCCCTTCAGGAAAGGACACGATAATTTGTTTAAAAAAACTTTTATTAGACCTATTATCACCTAACACCTCAGTTTCCTAGGGCATGTCACACTTCTAACTTGTTTTGTAGAAAGTGTGCAAATGCACCAGTTTTGCCTAATACCAGGGTTCTAGCCAAATGGGGGGGGGGGGGGGGGCGTTGGGGGCGCAGCGCCCTCATACTCTGATTGAGCCTCCCCCTGTGAAAAGTCCCCCACTCATTGGTCGATTGTTGTGTTTTTTTCATGTCATTCAACAAAAATGCAGTCGATAGTCACTATTAATGGGTTCAAAAAGGCACATACATGTATGCCTGGGGTGGAGACGGGGGGGGGGGGGGGGGGGGGGGGGGAAGGGGGTTCGCCCGTACGTTGCATTTTCCATGGCGAGATCATTAATGGGGAAATGGAAAAATAGGTTACGGGGTAACTTTTTCCCCTGCCCCAGTCAGTGGCCGATTGTGAAAGGTACCGTTGCAGCTTTGACGCTCTCCAGCATTGTAATGCCGGGAGTGGACGTCTCCTGGTAATCTATTCCATTTATGTGTAGCTCTGAAGGCATACCTCGACTTGCTAGCGCTCATTCTTGCAACGGGAAGACCGGGTCCGTCCTGCTACTGAAGTAGAGTTTCTCTGGTTATTTGCAGAGTCAGTAGTTGTGTGACGGACTGCGATGTCTCACCATACAGGCTCTTCCACACAAGAGCAAAGGTGTTCTGGTGGAAGCGCTCTGACACCTGGAAGACTCCCAGCCGGGTCAGCAGAGGTTAAGCTGAGTGTCGCATGGGTACACCATAGACCGTGCGGGTTGCCTGATTCAGCAGAACCTGCATCCTCCTCGTTTGAGCGTCCGGCAGTCAGCCACTGAAATAGGGCGATGCGTATAAGGCGTCTGGCAATACATGTACTACGGAGGTTGCTCACGATACCCTTGCACTTTCACTGAGGTAGCAGTGTGCGCGCCAGAGTGCACCAATCTTCTGAGCCGTCTTGGCTGCCACTCTATTAATTTAATTAACGTGTTCTGTGAATTCAAGGTGTTGTCCACGTTGTCACTCCAAGGTACTTGACTGAGGAGGCTTCCAGGAAGGGTGTCCTGTCTCAGGTGACTTCAATCGGTGGTGTTGGCTGTTGTCGTCCAGCGGCATACACTGCTAGGAGATGACTCTTTGTCTCATTGAGAATGAGGCCAGGTTGACGTAGCCATCCACTGAGCTCAGTTACTGCTGTAGAGAGACACATAATTTGTAAATAAATGTATTCAAGGCTTAGAGGCTAGCCTGTTATGTTCTCATGCACACCACTACTACTAGACAACAGGAACTAGCTTGGTGACAAGATAATAGAAACTAATTATTTACATTCTCAAGTGAGGAAGAAGAGCAAGGAGAAGAACACATGAATCCAGAATATGGATGCGTGCATGCGTCCAATAGAGACATGACGTAATCACGTGAACCAAGGCGTATAACGTAACAATACGCGTTATGCGGGTGATAACAACTTGAAGTACATGCGCAATACATGAGTAGCTAGCATGATACATCACGTCCCTTCTGAGATAGAAATATAACAATTACATTTACATACATGTATCTCACGCCCCTTCTGAGATGACAACAAGGCATCTAATACCAACTAGAAAGGACGGCAAAGCAGATAGAGATAACTGAATACGAAAATAGCTGAGCTCAACAAGAGGCAGAAAGACGCACAGGCAGCTAATCATAAGTTTGGCCACGAGTGTTCGAAATATTCAGCCTAGACGGGGGTTGGCGGCTTCGCTGACTGCGCCGGACTGGCGGGGCAGGCTGAGTGATGGGGGTAGCAGGCATCGGCTGTGCAGGTGCGACGGGCAAGACAACAGGACGAAGAAAGCGACGGTTTCGCCAGTATATTCGGCCACTGGGAAGCTTGACCATGTAGTCGCGGTGGCTCCCAATGGCGACAATGGTACCGCGGGCGTTCCACAACTTGCTGCGGGGATCTTGTAGATCCACAGGGCAACCAAGGTGGAGGGCAGGCAGAGAACGGGCAGACTGGTTGTAGTGCTGACTGGCTGCTTCAGACTGGGCAGAGGCACGACTGTCGATTTCGTCAGCGGTTTCTTGCCACGCTGGGGCAAAACTGGTCCGGTGGGCAAGCACGAATGACGACAGGGGGCGGCCAAACAGGGCCTGCGCTGGGCTCTGACCGGAGCTACGGGGAGTGTTACGCCATTCCAATAAGCCACGACGGAAGGCGTCGACATTAATGTCTCCGTTGGTGGTGGTCTTGTACACGAGAGATTTGATGGCCTTGACAGCCGCCTCCGCATGGCCATTCGATTGTGGGTAATGCGGACTGGATCTGACGTGGCGGACTTGCCAACGCTGACAGAAGGCGGAGAAACGCTGCGCTGTAAACTGCGGACCACCATCAGTCGTCAGGACAGCTGGGACACCGAGATCCGCGAACCAGCCTCGGAACGCACGGACTACGTCAGCGGAGGTGGCGGTGCGTCCTATCTTGGCAACACAGGGCCAGCCGGTCTTGCGGTCCACGTATACCAGGAACTGGTAGCCTTGGCATTCGAACAGATCCGCGCTGGTGCTCTCAAACGGGAGGGCAGGACAACGATCCTCAGTTGCCAGCAGCGGTTCCTTCACTTGGGAAGGTGCGTGGTGACGGCATTCAGCGCAGCTGCGAACGATATTGTCAATGTCGTTGGACAGCTGGGGCCAATACACCACCTGGCGAGCACGAGCCTTGGTACGGTTGAGACCTTGATGAGCAGCATGCAAGTCGTCAAGCACACTACGCCTGAGGGAACGCGGGACAACAATGCGAGGACCTTTCAGTACCAGGTCCTGGTCGACTGTAAGATGATGACGGACTGTCCAATACGGCTGGGCGGCAGGACATAAGTCGCGTTTGTCGTCGGGAAATCCGTTCCGGACGGTGGTGAGGAGTGCCTGATAATCCGAGTCAGCTCGAGCGGCTTCTTGCAATTCGGCAAACCGGAGATTGGCAATCTGGCCTTCGGTGTCTTTCCGAATGCAAGCGCGTATGGCAGGAGTACGAAGGGCTGGGTGTTCACCGAGCTCATCGTCAGGGGTGGGATCATCCACTGGATTGCGGGACAGCGCGTCGGCGAAAGCGTTGTCAGTACCCTTACGCCAAGTGGCATGCAGCTGGTATGGACGAAGCTTCATGACCAGGCGTTGGAGCCGGGGATTCTCAATCTGATCGAGCGAGTACGAGTTGATGATTGGTGTGAGGGGCCGGTGGTCGGTGACAAGCTCAAACAATGTACCGGCGAGGTAGAGAGAACATTTCTTCACCGCCCAGACGACAGCTAGGAGCTCCAGTTCGATGACAGCATACCGGGATTCTGGATCCGACAGAAATCGACTGCCACACTGGAGAATGCGCCACTTGCCATCTTGCAACTGCCACAGAACGTAGCCAAGGCCATGCAAAGCAGATGCATCGGTCTCTAGGCGGAGTGGCTGGTCACGTTGGAAGAATGACAGCGTTGATGGTGACAACAGCTCAGCCTTGGCAGCGTTGACTGCGTCTGTGTGAACTGAGTCCCATACAAACTCGTTGGACGTCTTGAGCAATGGGCGCAACGGGGCGGCGTGCTCAGACAGGTGCGGGGTGAACTCACCACACTGGTTGATAAGACCCATAAACGATCGGAGATCAGTGCGGTTGCTGGGAGCTGGAAACTGGCTGATAGCTTTGACCTTGGCATCATCGACGGTCCAGCCGTCAGCACTGATGCGGTAACCACAGAACTCCACGGCTGGCATGCCGAACACAAACTTCTTGGCGCTCAGAGTAATGCCATTCTCCCGGGCGCAGAGCAGGACATCCCGGACGTGAGATCGGTGGGTGTTCAGGTCATTATCGTAGACGAGGCAGTCATCAACGACCTTCTGGAACTGGGAGATATGAGCGAACGCGGCGTCGGTGCGGCGATTAAACTCGTCTCCGGCAGAGACCAATCCTTGTGGGTTGCGTAGGTACCTGTACCGACCCCAAGGTGTCATGAACGTGGTCAACGGACGGGAGGCCTCGCTCAGAGGAACTTGCCAATAGCCGTGGCGGGCGTCTAGCTTTGTGAAATATCTTGCGTTGCCAACGCTGGATACAGCGTCACGAGGGCTTGGTGCGGGGTGAGCAGGGCGTTCGACTTGGTCGTTGAGCTTTTTGAAATCAACGGTGAGCCTCTTCTCGTTTGTCCCCTTCTTGTCCACGATGACAATTGGGTGACACCACGCACTGGGTTCGGTGACCTCCTCGATGATGGCATCCCGGACCATGTCATCCAGCTGGGACTTCACTTGGTCACGGTACGCATGCGGGATCTGGCGGGCATGATATGCAGCGACAGGCTTAGCATCAGCTCGCACTCTAATTTCCATAGGTCCACCAAGCATTGGCTTCAACACAGAGTCATCAAAGACGTCAGCGAATTCAGCTAGGAGTTCGGCTCTCATCGTCTCTGAGTCGGTGGCTTTGGACACAACCTTGTCCGCAGGTGCATCGGGAACGGCCGATGGGACTACCTGTTGGACTGCTGCGATTTGCTTCGGCCAGCCGGACGGCAAGTATCCTAGGGCGTGCAAGGATGAACGGGATAGGAGGGCATCAGTCAAACCATCATAGACATGAATGGTGGACGTGTGCTGGTTTGGTCCACAACTGAGAGTCGCCGAAATCTTGCCAACAGGGGTGAGACTGGCGCCATCTGCGGTACGAACATCGTCGATGTCGTCAAGCAGGTTCTCGACAAATCCGCCTAACTGGTCAAGGTGTTGAGTGCCGATGGCATCAACGTCGCTACCAGTATCCGGGAGCCAACTAAGAGCTACGGGCTCTGGCTCGGTCACAAGCTGGGTGGCAACGGAAACTGTTGCGTCGTCCAACAGAGATGCTCGGTTGAGTCGCAAGTGTGCGATCTTGGACGACTTGTCCGGCTTCTTGGCAGGCCTGCGGCACATTGCCCGGAAGTGACCCGTTCCATTACAGTTAAGGCACACTTTGTTGATCGCGGGACACGGCGATTTCGTGTGCGCTGTGCGTCCGCAGTTACGGCACTTATCACGAGCAGAAGTGTGCTTCGCCTCAACTGGGGGCTGTGAAGCTAACTTCGCGCGCTGATAAGACGACTTCCTGGCAGCATTGACTTGGCCGGCGGTAGGGATGTGGTGGCTGGTCTGTGTGGCTGCCTCTTCTGCACGACACACCTTGACTGTCGCCTCCAATGTCAGGTCGGAGGTGGACAACAGTTTGTGACGGGTGGTGTCGTCCAGGATACCGATCACAATGCGGTCTCGCATCATGTCCGCGTGGACCCGTGCAAGATTAGTTTTGCACGTAGAACAGGCACGTGCCGAACAGGCAGAACAGAGCTCGTGTTCCACAAAATCACACGTGTTAAACAACTCCTTCAGGGAAGTGTGGAACCCGTCAAACAATTCCCCTTTCTGTTGCGTGCGCTTATAAAATTCAATTCGGTCAAGTATCGGGTTTCTTTGTCGGCGAAGAAACTGCTTGACCGCCTCCAAGACGTCACACGCATCAGGATTGGTCGCGATGACAATGGTGCCCTCCCTGATGAAACGTCTGAGGTCTTCGTCAAGGCACTGACGGATGGCAGATACCCTGGTTTCCCTTGACTGTGCTGTCAGGTGCTGGCACCGAGAGAAGTCTTCCCACAGTTCCTGCCAGGCAGCAAACTCTGACAGGGACGCGGAGGACAGCAGCATGGGTCGCTCCGCCGCGACAGGCTTTGGAGCTGGCGGTGCTGGCGACGAGCGAGGCTGACTCTGTTGAGTAAGACCAGTGATAATTGCATCGAGACGCTTCTCTCGCTCATTGGCTGCCTCCATCTGCTTTTTGAAGAGATCAGCAAGAGCAGCGATATCTGCGCTCGGCACACTTGGTGCAGCTGCATCTGACATTTCGGAAGACGGTCACGACTAGAGAAATAAATAAAATGTAATTGGACCTGCAGGCCTCGTGCGAACACAACCGGGATGCACCACGGGCAACTAGAAAAACACAGGTACGAAACTTCACTGCGCCATGTTATGTTCTCATGCACACCACTACTACTAGACAACAGGAACTAGCTTGGTGACAAGATAATAGAAACTAATTATTTACATTCTCAAGTGAGGAAGAAGAGCAAGGAGAAGAACACATGAATCCAGAATATGGATGCGTGCATGCGTCCAATAGAGACATGACGTAATCACGTGAACCAAGGCGTATAACGTAACAATACGCGTTATGCGGGTGATAACAACTTGAAGTACATGCGCAATACATGAGTAGCTAGCATGATACATCATAGCCGTTCCTTTAAGCTTACCAAGATTACACATAACCATAGCTGGATTGGACCGTTCACTCACAGCATCGTTATTTCCCTTCCGTCATGCACAGCTTCTGGAACAAGGCGGTAACGAACAATGCAACGCCGACAAGGAGGCCTATCTCTCAAAGTCCTACAAGCGTCCCGCTCCATATGGGTAAGTTATACGATGCACTGAAATGTGTTCGCGAAATCCGATCTAGATACATGTAGCTGTAAAGCATTCATCCAGGGAAATGGTGTGTGTATTATTATTATTATTATACGCACGTCCGCGTTTACGTCAACAGTAAGTCCACGTATTCGCATGTGCCAGAAGACAGGCAGAGTGGGCAGAGAGGAAAACAAAAAATAAAAGTAAAAAATAAAAGTAAGACAGCAGGCGATAGGCACATAACTCATGTGTATACCAGAAGATAAAAGGGAGATGAAACGAAAAGTTTTCTCGGAGATCAGTCCTGATCCTGCACACGTAAAGTTTGCTTTTTGTGGCCTGCTCTCTTCTATTTTACCGCACACAGGAACATTGTCTACAGGAAGCACTTCATTGGCGCCAAGTATGTGAGACATGAGTTCTGTTCTCTGGAGGGCACCGGGCTGCAGAGAAAGTCGATCATTCCGCAGCCGTATATCACAGGTCAGTACCGCAAGCTTACAACAATGTGATTACCGTATTTTCCGGAGAACGTCGGTGCGGCTAATACTACGATGGTCTAATAAATACATGGTAGACATCTGTTCGTGATCACAAATCTAGGTGTGGCGTATACTCCAGACAATACGGTATCCGAGTGCCACACCTCTGTCACGCTATGAATCGCCGTAAAAAGATGTATAATTGGAGGAATTGAATACTCCATACATCAACAAGGGGGTGATTTGCATCTACATGGGTAGTTCAGTACTTCAGAGCATGACACTAGGTATAGACCAACCAACCTAGCGATGGTGCTGAGCCGTCCGAGGAATATTGTCGCATGCACACAGACATACCACAGGAGAGTTGATGTACTTTTTCAGAAGTTCATGTAGCACACCATGCAGTGAAATGTTGCTTCACAGGAAGCAAACGCATTCCCCTTCATTCCTATCAACAGCCAGCTAGAACCGTGCTTCAGTGGTGCAGCTTGCCACCCTGGCAACTCTTTCTTAGCCAAATACAGCATGGCTGTTGCTTATGAAATGAAGCCATTGGCCAATTTTTGTAGTGAAAATGTTCACGGAGACAGTCACACAGATCCCATGGAACTAATTCCCACTTGGCGCTTTAGCCGATCATCAAGTTACTGCTGTGATACATATCCGATAATAATGCCATGTACGGCTATTTGTCTTTATGTCAGGCGAAATATCCTATCCTCTCCTTAAGCGTGGCCGAGCGAATGACACTTGGCTGACCCGATGCTTGGAAGCCTATGCTACGAGTGGAAGCCTACGTTACATGGATAAGGTATGGTGATGTCTGCAGCTCTAACATACAACGAGATGTTGCAGCCAATTGAAGTCTCTTGAGCGACAGGGCATGATCTTATGCAGTTTTCAATTTGTTTCTGTATCATTATTAGGCGTAATCATCATGCTGCGTAAAAATATCACATTGAATGTGCGATTCCTCTCTCTTTACCTACCTGTTCAAATATCTCTGTTGTTATCTGCAGGAAGGCAAGGAACTAGGTTCCATCCCGCTGGGAGTGTTGAATGTTGCACTCGTCTCTGACAAGGACATGAATGGCGATAGCGACACTCTAATCATGATTGTCACCTACCCAGAAGATGCCAAAACTCGCAAGCCGTCCAATTCTGAGGCTGAAGTGAAGGGAGGAAAGAGACTGACACGCAGCCTGTTCTTCAAAGGCTTTGAATTCCTCGCTGGAAGGGTAAGACTCGCAGTGGACTGACTTTTTCAAATGGAATATAATTAATACAAATGCTCATTGTACAGCATTTTTTTATTATTGTATCTTCCCTGCATTGGATGTACATGTACATGTAGTAACTCAGTCTGAAGAATGGCTGTGGCTTCCTGCAGCTTCATCTCTGAAAAAAGGAATTCGGGTGGACACACCCACTCCCATAGCGCTGCACATTCATTGTTCTTATTACCTGATGAAGGCCAAGTGCCGAAACGTTGTAAAATAACGGAACTGGTTCGGTTGCGCCAGCACTATGGGAATGGGTGTGTCCACCCGAATTCCTTATGTAGTAAATTCCTCCCATAAAGAGGGGGGGGGGGTGAGTGCAGTACATTTTGACACAGACGGTACGTGTGCCCCTTGGCAATCGCTAGACTTTATCTGTTTCCGTGACTGAAAATGATGAAGTACTTTGGTAGG